GGAACCAACCACAGAGGCCTTTCTGTGATGCCAAAGAATTGTTTTCTTGCTTATTGAAGGCATTTGGATTTAGGGTCTGATGCTTTGAAGGCATCTCTCACATACTGTGTTTTCTTTCTTAAAGGAATTGTGTTAAAATATTCCTTTAGTTTTGTTAAAGCAATTCTTAAGCTTCTTTTCACTTGGATTTTAATGATCCAGTGTTTTCGGATTTAATTCTACATCCTAAAGTTAGACTTATGTTTACTAGAGATGCTGATGGTTGAGGGGGAGATGTTAAATGTGAAAGTCTGACTATAAATATCTTTGGCAGTGCCTGGTTAATGTGGCTGTTATTAAATATTATATAACATGTCAAGAATTTTTGTTATTAAGGTGGAAGTGTATCTTTAAATCACGTCACAGTGCTCTGTTACTCATGAGAGGTGTTTGTAGAAACACCCACAGTTGACTATTGACCACAGACTTATGTATGGCTTTAGCTAAATCAGTTCTTCCTGTAGAGGCCACTTAAAATCTGAAAGCGAAATTTATGTTTTGAAAAAACGGAACTGACATTATGTATTTCTTTTTTATTTTATTTTATTTTATTATTCATATGTGCATACAAGGCTTGGGTCATTTCTCCCCCCTGCCCCCACCCCCTCCCTTACCACCCACTCCGCCCCCTCCCTCTCCCCCTCACCCCTCACCCCCTCAATACCCAGCAGAAACTATTTTGCCCTTATTTCTAATTTTGTTGTAGAGAAAGTATAAGCAATAATAGGAAGGAACAAGGGTTTTTGCTGGTTGAGATAAGGATAGCTATAAAGGGAGTTGACTCACATTAATTTCCTGTGCGTGCGTGTTACCTTCTAGGTTAATTCTTTTTGATCTCACCTTTTCTCTAGTTCCTGGTCCCCTTTTCCTATTGGCCTCTATTTGTAGAGCTTTTTAGCTTATGTAAAACAAGCCATAAATTTATGGATTGAATTTTCTTATAAAATCATCTTATCCTTTTGAGGTGTAGGGTTGGGGTCAGTGGGGAGTTGGGGGTTGGGGAAGATAGCTCATCAACAACTTGTGGCTGATGGTTTATTGTATTTTCTGGGACTTAAGATCTCACAAACTTAAAAAGTTTCAACAAAGATAAAATTTTAATTTGAAAGAAAAATTGAAGGGACAGTGCCATAATCTCCCAAGTCACCAGTTTATTTGTTTGTACTCAAAACCTCAATAATTATTAACAATTTGCTGTCATTTCCCCTTCTGTGTTGGAATATGCCTGTACATACATTTGCTAGATCATTAGAAGGTCACCTGCAGATATCATGACACTTTGTTTTTATTGAGAAATATGAATGACTCTGAATGAGATGCATCATTTTCTGACTCGGACTTTATGAATGTCCTGGTGATTTTGTGGCAAACCATAATTGATTAAGCTATTTTTACAGTGAAGGTTAGTTACATTGTTCTGCCTCTCAGCTTTATTTTTCATTGACTGTCTCTCTCTCCCTGGGCTCAGCAGCCCCTGGTCCTGTGGGACCTGTGGACTCTTGGGGAAGATGGCGTAAGCAAGCGAGTACGGCATGATGAGAGGCACGATGGGGAGTCTCTCAGAGAGACTTTTCTGGAGGAAGAAATGGGGTTTAGTCCAAAGTCTCACAAGTGAATGAGGAGTTAGCCAGGCAGGAGAAGAGATGTAGGGTGAGGATATGGGGTGGGGGAGATTGAGCAGTATGCCATAAATAGGAAGGTCACATGCAAAGTCAAGTGGTGAGACAATAGTCCTTTTTTTTCTCATTTTTCTCTTTGTGATAGTGGGGATCAGATCCAGGGCCTTCAGCGTGCTAGACAAGTGCTTTACCACTGAGTTATGACCCTAAACTGGTCCTTTCTAGAAACATTGTAAAATGTGACTTGTGTAAACGAAGAGAGAAAGATTGAGTGAATGTGAAAAGTGTTGGACAGAAGGGGGAGTGAGAATGGAGTAGGAGGCTGGTGAAGTGGCTCAAGTAGTAGAGTGCCTGTCTAGCAAGCATGAGGTCCGTGAGTGCAAACCCCAGTACCAAAAAAAAAAAAAATCCCCAAAACAAAAAAAGTGGTGAGAGTGGGAGTAGGAAAGACTGGCAAGGCTGGGGCCATTGCTAGACTTACAAGTTTCTTTAAAGACTTTGAACTTCTTTCTGAGTGGACTATAGCTCTTGAAGGTTTTAATTAGAGCAGAACCATGACCAAGAGTCTGTGTAGAAGGCTCACTTTAAATGGAGAATTGCTCAGAGAAGCTAGAGTAAAAGTGGAATTGTGTGGTATGCAACCTGAGTAGGGTCATGACAGAGGGAATGGAAGAGGTGGCTGAGTTTTTGAGACATTGTTACCATGTTTAAATCATTTCTTTTTCAATTTAAGTTTTCCAACATACAGAGAAGTTGAAAACATTACTTCCAGCACTTTGATTTAATCCTGGCCAGCTTTTGGGCATGTTCACTCTCTCTATTGCTCTAGGTATAAATTTACCTGTTTCTTTTAGTACATTCTGTTGTCAGTTTCAGATGTGCTTAAATCCTGGCCATTTATTAGCATCAAGAGTTTGGCCAAATTCCTTAATCTTTCTGTGTGAATTCCCTCATTAGTAGTGATGATACATCCCAGAGTGATTGTTGAGTTCTCGACAGAGTGCTAACCACAGAACCCTACTCAGTAGGCTGAGTGATTTGTGGAATATGTAGTTGCCTTACTTCTGATGAATGTATTTAGTAATAATATTTAGAGCACAGGTTTTATGTCTTATTTACTAGTTACTTCCTTTTTAAAAAAAAAAGTGTTGTGAAATATAGTGAAGGTTTGTTAACTTTTATTTGGAAAACCTGACTGACTGCTTAGTAGGGATAGGGTGGACTTGTATCCCTGGTCCTAGCTACTCAGCAGCACTTGATATCACAGAAAGGGATGAGACACCTGGGTATTAGTCACTTTTCTGTCACCATGACAGAATCCTGGAGAGGAACAATTTAAAAGACGGAAGGATTTATTTTAGTTCACAGTTTCTGAGGTTTCAGTCCATCATGGCAGGGAGGGCATGAAGGAACGGATCATCTCATGGTGGACAGGAAGTACAGAGAAGACAAGGGACCAGGAACCTTTAAAGACAGGCCAACAATGACCGACTTCCTCCACCTTGTCCAGTTTCCACTGCCTCCCAAAATAGTACCACCAGCTGGGGACAAGGCATTCAGCACATGAACTTGTGGGTACATTTCATGTTCAAACTGTAATACACGAGAAAGTGGACTAGGTTCAAGTGGAGGCCATGATATTGATAAGACTCACTTGTTGCACTTCCAGAGAAAGGGTCTTGAAAATTTCTAATCCATCTCATGTATTAAATGGCATGGGCAGTGTGGGAAGACACACTACAGTGACATATCAGGGGTGCTGGTCTTGCAGTAAACAAGTGGCTGTCACTGCTGGTGAGCTGAGGCCAACCTCATCAGAACTTTTTTTGTGAATTTCTGGGAAACCTGTCCAGCCCAATACTCAAACTTTTGCACTGTTGATGGTTAGAGTAAGCTGTTAAAAAACAAAACAAAACATGTTATGGATCAGGCCATGCAGCAGTTAGCTTTCATTTGCTGGTGGGACAAAGAAGTTGAATGTGCTTTTCAAATGCATAGAAGAAAACACAGGTCTATGTTCACCTCAGTAAAACTTCCTCGGAGTCTTTTCTTACCCACAAATAGAGTAAGGATGCCTGGTGCTTTCTGTGTTGGACGAGTTTGAGAAGGCAGACTGAAGATTGTTCTCTAAATAATCTAGACTGCTTGGGCACAGGGTGGTGTGTCCATGGTGTGGAGCAGTAGCTCTGAAAGAACCTGAGACACAAGTCTCCTCTTCGTTGTGGCAACAGGTAACCTTGAGGTCCAGGATCTACTTTCAGCATGGCCTTTTAAACCTCAGCTAAAATAAGTGAGGAACCTAGAGGTACCTGCTGACCTGGCTTGTATTGAGCATTCCTCTGCATGCCTGTGTTGTTTTGTCAACAATGCATGCACCCCTAAGCCACATATGATTGTGAAGAGAACACAGGAAATGCAAATGTGGCTGTGTAAGGAAGAGGCAAGGCTGCCATTGTTAGGTGGAGACAGACTCCCCATGATCTGGGGTCATTTTCTCAGACAGAAGATCAGAGGTCCCTGTGACTCAGTGGGCAAGGGTATAAATGAGGAGTCCTGAAACCCAGGCTCACTACAGTGTCCAGTATAGCTGAAGTGTGGCTTAGATACTGGCACAAACGTTGTCCCAGGAAATGTATGGTATCTGACTGCCAGCTGACTGCAGAGGTCTAGCTGAACAATTGAGTGGGGTGTCTTGAGAGTCCACCCTGCGCCCAGGCACTGTGAGCACAGTAGTAACCTTAGCTTGCTGTCCAAATCTCTGTTTGGTAGAGAGCTGTGGCACTCACTGCTGCCCCCTGGTGGTTCAGTTACTGGCATGGACTTGCCAGTGTGTTTGAGAAGGAGAATAAATTGTGACTGCCATGCCATGCCAGGAGATACATACAGGGTGTCTGCATCTTTGCTTTGAGCTATATATGATGATTTACCACATATTTGTGTTCTCCCTTTATGGAAGACCTAATAAAGAAGTACAGGGAGATGAAAATACGAAAAACCAAATGATAGAAATTTAAGAGTGAAAACTTTTAAATACATTTAAAAAAAATTCAGTTTAATGATGTTTTTCATAAATACAGTTAGAAACTGTAGAAATAATGTATATGATTATAGTTTAGTAATAGCTTTGAATTTAAGTAATATTAGGACACATGTACTTTTTATGACACTTAACTTTTACATTGACCAAAATGAAAGGTTTTGTCACTTACATAACCTTTTTGACTTCAGTTTTTTCCCATTATTACTGTTACTATTGCTTTCTGTACAGCAGGCCACTGTAGCATGTCTAAGTATTTCTTAACAGTGTTGTTATGTGACTAACTCTCGTTTTGTTTGTCACAGGGACCTCCGGAACAATCTTATTAGTAGCATAGATCCAGGTGCCTTTTGGGGACTGTCATCACTTAAGAGATTGTGAGTGTTTGAATTGTTTCTTTATGAGTTTGAACTGTTTCTTTCATAAGTAGCTGTTAACTTTAGCATTACAAAAATGAATACTTAATAATTTTAGAGGGTCCCATGGCCAGGTCCCTGATAGAAGAACAGAGAGAATTTTTAATGTAAGTGTCTTGGAAGGTGTTTAATTTTCACAGTAACATGAATTGTTTGGTGGTAAGCAATTGTGTCCCTGTTATGTTAGTAAAATCATTACCATGCCACCTTTGCAAGCTAACATGATCTATAGACGATTTTCAAGTTACGACTCCATTTAAACTGTATCTTTTATAAGTAACATCTAAGTTATGACTCCACTTATACTGTATCTGTTATAAGTAACACGTAAGTTATGACTCCATTTAAACTATGTCTGTTAAAAGTGACACATAAGTTGAGCCCCTTTCTATTAACAACGTAATCTTGCCATGTTCATGTGCATTTTGTGTATTATTATTATTGTTTCAAGACCTAAAGACTAATTTTTATTACTTCCATAGTTAAACAATTCCTCCAGTTATGCTCTTTTCACAATGTCCCATATTTGAGAAGTGACAGTCAAGCCACATGGACTGTCTCACCATCCTGTATTCCTTCCAAAGACATTTATTGGGCACTGGCTGCTTATCGTGCTCCTACTTCTCTGGAAGGGCTCATAGATTCCTAGGGGCAATGTAATGGAGGACAAAGAATTTTCTGTATACCCTTCTAAGTTCCTTGCTGGGACCCTTTAACAAAAGACAGATGAACAAGGGAAAAACAGGTTTATTAACAGGTATGTATTTCATGTGTATACTTGGGATCAAACCCTGGAAAAGGATGACTCTCAAGGATAGGCTTAGAACTCTGGCATTCTAGGTGTCCATGGCAAGGAACAACACATTTTTAGAGAAGTGTCAGGGCAAAGGAAAAAGACCTTGAGTCTCTTAGAGATAGCAAATTATGGGAAGGCCAATAAAAGGAAAATTAATGGTAGATGAAGACCTGCTCTGTTACAAACTGTGAGGCTGGGGCTAATCACTGATTCTGATACTTAAGTTCTAGATTATTCCCTCCAACTTTTTCTTCAAAGGAGGAGTGTGACATCATGTCATTAGGTACAACCACTTGTTATTCCTCCCCTTATGATCCACACTACTAAATTAACAGCTCTTTTGGTAATAGAAAAGTTAATACTAATAAAATCTCTATGCCACGATAGAGACTGAAGATGACTCCACGAATCCGGTTTCATCAGGATATTTTAATGATATTGCACAATACCTTAGGTTCTGTCTAGTTCTTTATCTTAAATGATTTCTCATGTACTGCCATCTAAAATAAGTAAAAAAAAAAAAAAGAATTCATCTTCAGTAGCATCTAATTTAATTACTGGTATTGTAGTAGGCATCGCCTTAGCTTTTTCTCATTGCATTACACATTAAGTAGTCTCTTGTGTTCTTGTCTTGGAAGGTAATTGCCATTTATAATGTTCTTCCCAGAAGAAAATACATTCTTAATTCCAAACAGCTCAATTACGAGCTTACGGTACACAACTTGAAAGCTGAGGCGTCCTAAGTATAGGCTCAGTGGATGCAAAGATACCTGCCATTAGCAATGCTTGCTGGTTGTGTATAGATGCAGCCACTTTTTCATATGGGGCCTTAAATCACTGATTTCAGTGGTGCCTCCTACTTGAGGGCCACACATAGTGTTTGTAAATGTGTCACACCTTAAGTAGCTTTCTGAAAAATCACCAGAAGTAGTTGGAAGCCAGACCCATTCAGTTTCTCTTGCTTTATTAGCAAATTCAGACTGATTCTCAATCCAAATGAAAAGCCATTATCAATACCTAAATTCTGTTTTAAGTAGGTATAGCTGTAATGAAATTGTTTCTCAAAGAATCAATGGTAATTACACCATTTAAAGCTTAGAATTGAGACAAGATAATGAATAGGACCAGAAATGCTTCTTTAAGCAACAATTTACAAGATGATGCTTAATTTTCTTGTACACTAAAACACAGAAGTAAAACTAGAATTAAAAACAGTCCCACTCAATCAAATACTTAGCTTTAATATTCTGAAGAGATTGAGCTATATAGCAAGCACAGATGAAGATTTATGTTGCTTAAGATTCTTTTGGCAAAAGTTCCCATAGGAGAGGGAAGGTGGTGCTACGAAACGATGGGATACACGGTTACTTAAGAAAGCTTTTGAAATACGTAAAGAAAACAACAGATGAGTACAAATGCTATGTTCTTATAATTTATGGTTAAGCTCATAGGTTTTCTGTCATAACTAAGTATTCAGCTTGCAATTACAATTTTTTGGTTTGAAAATAGGAGCTTCACGTCACTTTTTTAGAGTAACTCAAGGTGTAATTTAAAGAATGTGTACTTCTCTGCACAGAGAATAATATGGATGTGGAAGAAAATGTGATAAAAATATTTTTGAAATTTTGATTCAGAGAGCTTGTTCTGCTTCTATTGAAATCCAAAGTATATGGAATTATTCAAAATCTAACAACTCATAAAAATGAAGATTCATTGATTGCTGTAGGGGTTTCTTGCATAGGGTACCAAGTCCACTGATGAACAAGGATGATAGACATGCCACCCTAGTTGAAAGTTATAGAAATTGTCAGTTGATATCTCCCAACCAAATGCAGGTCGCTGATTAAATGTAAAATTGTGTTCATTGTCCTTAGTGTAAAGTAAAATAAGTGAGGAGAGATTCAACAAAATCTTAACTGAAAATTCGGCCTGAGTTATAAGTAAGACATTTCATAGGCTGAGGAGAAAGATAACAATGTTTAGAAAGTAACATTTGATGGGAAATAGAAGTTAGGGCTAACTGACAAAATAATTGGACCATTACTGAGATATCGTTAAAGTCATTCGGCTTGAAACTAAATGATAGGTCTGTTTTTCATTACAGTCCAAACTTGCAGGTGTTTAAGGAATTAAGTTAGCATTAAGTTTCAAATGTTTTTGAGGAAACAAAAGTTCTCACATTTTGATAACTTAGCCTTTTATCGTTATCTACTATTTGCTGGACAAGATTGGGCTGTGTTCTCCAGCTGCCCTGGCATAATTAACTGTGTAGGTCATCTAAGGAATTGTATTGCAGACAGTAAGACAAATTGAGTCCCATTTTTACTAGTCCACTTTTATCTTGAGTAATTTTGTAGGAGTTACTGCTTGAAATATAATTAAGTATCATCTAGTCTGTGTGTCAGTAGTAAGTGAAAGCAAGAATCATTTTCTCTGAGTGCCATTCTTATCTCACGTGAGGTGGGTAAACATCTCAAGGGTGCAGAAAAGAAAGGTGCAGTTCTTGAATATTGAGTGTATAAGACGTGTATTAATGAAGAGAACTACTGGAAGATACATTTTTCTCCCTTTCACCTTAGGGACCTGACAAATAATCGAATAGGATGTCTGAATGCAGACATATTTCGAGGACTCACCAATCTGGTTCGGCTGTAAGTACCTTTCTTTCTTACTAAAATATAAGGAAGTGTTTGAACCAGTATGCAAATATTTATGAATACTCATGATGCGTTTAATATTAGAGTAGCAGCTATAGGGGCAACTTTACTTGGGACTTCAGAAGAAAAAATGGATAAGGAATTTGCAACTTAATCTTGGAGATATAGCGTCTTCAGAATGTAAAGCACATTGAGTATCCACAGTGATTGGGACCAGGAGTGTTTCAGATTTGGATTGATTTTTTCATGTTTTGGAATATTCTATATGTTTTGTGTGATGCTCTGGGGACCCAAATATAAACTTGAAATTCCTTTGTGTTTCATATACGCCTTATAATCATAGCCTGAAGATAATTTTATACAGTATTTTTAATAATTCTGTGCATGAAATAAAGTTTCATGGGGTGTAATTTTCCACTGGTGCCATCATGTCAGTGCTCAAAAGCTTTGGATTTTGGAGCATTTTGGGTTTCAGATTTTCATATTAGGGATGTTCAACCTGTAATACATTATAAACCCTCTTACCCACCTCCCCCACCACACGTTTGCCTACAGAAAAGAACACGTTCATATTGAGAGTTGTGATTGAAAACTTTGCTTGTCTGGGCAAATTTCTTCTTCTTTTTTTTTGCAATACTGGGGCTTGAACTCAAGGACTGGAACCATTCTACCAGCCCTTTTTTGTGATGGGTTTTTTCAAGATAGGGTCTTGAGAGCTATTTGCCTCAGCTGGCTTTGAACCACAATCCTCATGATCTCTGTGGCCTGAATAGCTATGTTACAGGTGTGGGCAAATTTCTTGTAAGGGGTAAAATGTGAGCTGATGGGACAGAAAATTTACAAAGATTTGGATGGTTAGGGAAGAAAAGACGCCAAGCCAGTGATGTATGGAGGGGGAAATGAGAGAAAGACCAGTTCTCTGATGGCCTCTAACCATGTGTTTGGGGTGAGTTGTTTAATTTTTCTGTTTTTCATCTATAAAGCAGGATTAACAGTACCTCAAGGTTATTACAAGGATTAAAACAAATTATGACTAGTTATCACTATTATAATTTATGTGTAACACAGACTTGGAATAACTTTGTATAAGCCATCAAATACATTTTTGTTTTAAAAATAAATTCCATTTGGGGAATGTTAGAAATAATGCTGATTCTCTATAATAGAGCTTTATTTTGGAAAAACAGAGTGAGGCTTAGAACTGAGTCAGTAATAGGAAGCCACCAAGTGAGACATTTGCAGAAGATTAGCATAAATTCTTGCTTTTTTATTTTTTAGTATTGGCTGTTTTTATTAGCAGAAATCAACAGGTTTTAAAAGACAAGTGTTTAATGTTTATTTATTTTTTATTCTACTGGGTGGTGGTACGTTGTGGCATTTATAAAGTACTTACAGTGTATCAAATGTATCATACTTGAATTCACCACTCCTACCACTCTCCTTTATCCCCCATCTCCTGATTCCTGAAATAGTTTGAACAGATACCATTTTTGCATTTACATGCATGTGTACTCAGTATTTGCAAGCTGTTTACATTGTTTCTAATGTTTCATTCAAGTTCAGTTTGAAAAAGCATTTAAGGACATAGCGAGGTTATTTCATATATCATGTAAGGAAGGGGACTTCAGGTTAGTTTTTATTAGAATAGAACAAATTGCTCCTACTTCCTATACTGGAAATTTGTAGATTTTTTTTTTATGACTTAAAACTAATTATACTAATGGCATTTTGACTCCTTTGTAATTGGGGTGCAAACATTTTTACTTAGTGCTTTTATATCTTTTTCAGATTTGTGTGTGTTGATTTTTGAGGACTGACTTAATTTTTGGCAAAATTTTGCATTATAGAAGTTTTGCTGTATTTTTGGCTAGCTATGACTTTTGTCATCCATATGAGTATGAAGCATACTGCTTTGTTCATTATAGTTCCAGACTGATTTCTGGCTTTGACCTCGGGATTTGACCCCTCAGCAAATGGCCTTTAGTTAGAGCAGCTGAGTGTGAGACAGAATTTTTTTGGGGCAGATTATTATTTTCTTACTATTTCCTTTGCCCCCTGCCTCAAAAGCTAAGATTTTTTGGTAGTTCTAGAAATACTTGGGTTGTCTTATCTGATGTGAAAATTTACAAGTCGTAGAACACAATGAACATAGAACTGGTGAATCACTAAACAAAAATAGCGCTGTCAGGCTTGCTACTTTGAGATTTGATTGAAATGAGCCTGTAGCCCATGTAATAATAGAATATTGTAGCTATTTTAAACGGAACATGGGTTATCTAGAAATAGGTCTGGCTGAAACCTTTTAATACTTTTTAAGGAAAAAATGGTTATTAAGGTAGTTTCTTAACATTCAGGGATGTTATTACCATAAAGTTGTTTATAATACTTTGGGTGGACATAGGTCTGGAACTTGGATCAAGAGACACTGGGCGAGTGCTTTGTATCAGCTGCTGCCATCTCCAGATTTCCGAGTTCTAAGAACCATGGAATGTGCTGGTTGTGAGGCCAACAAAAATCTTGTTTTTTAGGCATGGAGAAGAGCATGTTCTCAGTGCAGCAAGTGAGGATTTGATGAGCAGTGGGGTGTGTAGAATTGTTCTTAAGTTGGGAGTCAGAGAGCTCACAGAGTCTACAGTCTATAGTCCACTGGGTCACCCTTGTCGCTCTTCCCTCTGCCAACTCACCACTGAGCTCCCTTGGTTGCCTTAGAAGTAGGGACCTCAGATACTGAGACCTCTTAGCCAAGGAGGGTGGGATCCCAGGCCCCAGCAGGCAGGCCCCAGTGGGGTAGTGTTCTTGTCCATACTTCTCATCATTTTGAAAAAAGTCTTGACTTTGGAGGTTTAGGGTAAAAATTGAAAACAACTTTGTCTCAGTGTGTTGGAGGCCTCAGTGGGCATGGATGGGGCTGGGGGTATAAACTTGATTAATTCTCTGTATTGATCTCTACTTTTGCTGATGGAGACATTCCCTTTAACAGTCTCAGTGAAGTGTAGCTGGACTCCTGAGGTTGCACTGTACAGTGGCGATGGTTAGCTGACTGAAGAAGCAATGTGCCTTCTCTGTTATTCACCTAAGTTAATTTGTAGAGAAATTGTCAGGAGGATGACAAGCTAAAAGCGTGACTTTTCTTTTTCTTTTTTTAAATGAATTATGATCAGCTTAAAACCTGTATTTTTCCCTAATAATTGTGCCCAAAATATTTCTGTACGAAAAATGTGTAAATCATGTTTATATAAACTTCTCTTACATGATTCCCTTTATGCAAAAATTATACATATATAAAAATTTTCTATAAAGAACTTCCTTTAAAAAATATGGATGTTATCAAGTAGTAAAACCATATGGAAATAAATACATGGGAACAACTCCCTCTGTCATTTTAGTTATACCACACTGAAATAGCCTATATTAATGATCTGGTATGTGTGTGTATATATAAATATATACTTTTTTTTTCTGTTTTTTATTTGTTTTCTGTTGCCCCTACTTTAAAAAATTACCAATCAATATATTACATCTTTTCAACAGGCTAGTAAAATTAGTTTGTGCTTTTTTCATGGCTATCTGGAATATTCCAGGTACGGGACAAATTATAATTTAACTAGCCATTCTTCTGTTGATGAAGATTTCATTTGATTGGATTTTCCCCTCCTTTAAAACAGTCCTGGTAAACGTCCCTGTTTATCTGCAGGTGGTGCATCATGCACGTGTAATTTCAGGACTTCAAGTATGTCTGTTTAGCAAAAAGCAAGTGAATAAAGAAAAGTTGAGAGATTAAGAAGTGACAGCATAAAGGGGAGGAGTGAAGGTGCGTGGATAATTCACCTTCCAGTCCATCCACTGATCTTAATGTGACACCAGAGTAGTAAATGAATTTGCTGTTGTGGTTGTCATACTCAGTTTTTTGTGTCATTCTTGGTACTCTCCCTACCCCTCTTTTTTTGGTGACCATCTCAGTACTGGAGGGTGATGTAGTGTTTTAAAATAAGTGAATTTTTTTGTGGCATATCAGCCATTACATTACTTACTGTGCACCCAAACAAATAGCCAATTTTTTCTAACACCGAGAGAAAATTGGCATGTTTTGAGATTTACCCCTCTCCAGTATGGTTCCTTCTGTGGTCTTTCAGGGAAGTAATAACATGCATATTAGAATCTAGTGGTTGCTGGAAGACATGATTCTTTTGTTTATACTTTGATCCTGCATTTATAGAATAGATTTTTATTTCTAACTTGCTGTTATGAATTTGTGAACATAAAAAACAATCTCTAAAGAGCAGTATCTAAGGAATCAGGGTGTACCCATGTAGACAGACCTGATTTAGTCATTATTCCTCCTGTTTCTTCTTCCTGCTTGTATTATTTTAAACAGTCTCCCAAATCATGCAGTCTCACATGGGAGATTTTCAAAAAAGTACAGGTATATTTTAATTGAATATATGTTATTTTCTTAAAATGTTACAGTGACTTACACTTCTATCAGTCAAGTGCCCTTTCCAGAATCCCTATTTGGTATCTAACTACTATGTTAGGCTCGAAAGAGAAAGGCCATCTCTTTCATTGTTATTTTGATTTGCAAGTATCCATTTTTGCTTGTTTTTTTAAAGTTTCCAGGTAGTTCTCCTATGAGAATCAGAAGCATTTTATCCAGACTTTTTAGGTAAAAAAAATCCTGAAGCATATGTACAACCTAGCCCTGTGCTGCTCTTACTGAAGGTCACTGTGGATTGATTTCTGAAGATGGGCGGTTATGCAGTAGCAAGGATTCCCATCCAGGAATCCCCTGCTGCAGGCCTGACAGAAGCTACCCTGCCCCTTCATTCTTTCCCCTCTCCCCACTAGAAATCCAGCTGCACAATTGGCACTCATTCCCACACCTCGGCTGGAGTCAGCTCAGCCTCTTCAAAGCCCCCAGGCTGCTGTTCCAACATTGTGCCTCCCTTATTGTTTCTTGAGAACTCTGCTTCTAAATTGAAACTGTTTTTGATGCTGCACAGGCACAGAACAGATCCTAAGGGGGGGGGGTCTATCATTTCGCCATTTCCCCAGAGTCCCATTTTAATGTTAGAAGCCCCTAAAGGAGTGGTGTATGTACATTCTGAGCAATCAGCTGCCCTTACTGAGTACCTACTGCCTACCTTAGCCTGTTCTAGGTGTCAAAGGAACTCTACCAGATAAGACACACATGCACTACCGCTACCACTTCAAGCTTGGAAGAAAAACTTTGGTCCACTGATAGGAACCAAAAATCATATGCAGTCAACTTGGTGCAGCATAAGATTTTGTGAGCTTAATTTGCACAGAACACTGAACTCTCATACAAGGGGGAAACTGAAGTGGTTACGGAATTTGCCTAAGACCAGTCAAGTTACATTATAGCCCAACTCTCCCTTGAGCCCCTGGACTCAACTGCTGTCTGTCCACGTTATCGCTCAGCACTGATGGATTGCTCCTGCTGACCATGGAGTGATGCTTTCCCTTTTCTTTCTTTTTGGTGGTACTGGGGTTTGAACTCAGGGCCTCATGCTTGCTAGGCAGGAGCTCTACCACTTGAGCTACTCCATCATCCTGCCCTTTTCTGATTGTTAAAAATTTTATTCCTTACTTGCTACTTCTTAATTTGTTTTTATTCCTAAATGACCCCAAGTAAACACATGAAGTATAATTCCAGTGGGAATTCACTTTTTAGCATCAGCTGATACTTGATAGGAAAAATCCTTATCATTAATATCCTTTTTTAAGAATTTGGTTAGACTTTGCATAGATTAATCTGGGAAGAAATATTTATTAGGTGATCCCTCTTTCTAACAGTTAAGGTAACTTGCATATATTCTTTACAGCACTACATAGTGATTATAGGGCATTTGAGAAAATATGAGATAGTAAAAAAAAATGACATAATTGCATGTATTTTTTTTTCATTTTTCTTTTATTATTCATATGTGCATACAAGGCTTGGTTCATTTCTCCCCCCTGCCCCCACCCCCTCCCTTACCACCCACTCCACCCCCTCCCTCCCCCCCCCAATACCCAGCAGAAACTATTTTGCCCTTATTTCTAATTTTGTTGTAGAGAGAGTATAAGCAATAATAGGAAGGAACAAGGGTTTTTGCTGGTTGAGATAAGGATAGCTATACAGGGCATTGACTCACATTGATTTCCTGTGCGTAGGTGTTACCTTCTAGGTTAATTCTTTTTGATCTAACCTTTTCTCTAGTACCTGTTCCCCTTTTCCTATTGGCCTCAGTTGCTTTAAGGTATCTGCTTAAGTTTCTCTGCGTTAAGGGCAACAAATGCTAGCTAGTTTTTTAGGTGTCTTACCTATCCTCACCCCTCCCTTGTGTGCTCTCGCTTTTATCATGTGCTCAAAGTCCAATTCCCTTGTTGTGTTTGCCCTTGATCTAATGTCCACATATGAGGGAGAACATACGATTTTTGGTCTTTTGGGCCAGGCTAACCTCACTCAGAATGATGTTCTCCAATTCCATCCATTTACCAGCGAATGATAACATTTCGTTCTTCTTCATGGCTGCATAAAATTCCATTGTGTATAGATACCACATTTTCTTAGTCCACTCTTCAGTGGTGGGGCATCTTGGCTGTTTCCATAACTTGGCTATTGTGAATAGAATTGTACGTATTTTTAAAAGTGAAATTATTTTCTTTCTAGAAACCTTTCGGGAAATTTGTTTTCTTCATTGTCCCAAGGAACTTTTGATTATCTTGGCTCACTACGGTCTTTGTAAGTAAGAATTCTTTGTCCTGTTTAACATATATTCATTTTTGAAAATTAAAACATTCATTATGTAGTTTATGAGATTTCATAAAGAACATGTTGTGAATTTGCAAACTTTAGACATTTCTTGAGAGCCTGCATTCAGCTGGAAAAAATATAGTAAATATCATTAATGCATTTCAGACTGAAACTGCTGTTTCCTCCTCAGAATACTATATGCCCCCCCCCCCCAATTTACCTGTATTCAGGGTAAATAAATTGGTAATTTGACTTCTTTTTCAAATCAGGAAATGTTTTGTTGTTGGGTAATTAAATCCTTAAAGTATAAACTCTCCCTCCCCATAAAGAACTTGTAGTGAGGAATACTTTAGACTTTAAGGATTTAATTTTATCCTGTAATCCCTGGTCCATACTGAATTCACAACCTATTACTAATGTTTCTAGGGCTGCTTATCTCGATTGCTGGCTTTATGAAGTTAAAATAAGATCTTTTTTCACACAGTTCTCTATAGCTTTAGAATTAGTTAGCTTTTTTCCTCAGACACACTTTTGTTAACTGTGAGATTCTACCCACAGGCATTACTTTTGGAAGTAAGTGTATTTTAAGATTAACAGTCTGTCTCAAACTATACATTACACTAATTTCTATTGGAATTGATTTTATTATATTTCAAATTTTTCAGTTTGGGTAATTATTTAAATTTAGTCTTTTTTCTGGGGAAAAATTTCTTCTGTACTAGACCAGATGTCTTCTTTTATCCCTTGCCTTCCTCCCTCCCTTCCTTGTTCTTTCCCTGATTTTCCTCCTATTTCTCTCTCTCTCTCTCTCTCTCTCTCTTTCTTGCTTTCATTTTTTTGCTGTGTTGGAGATGGAACCCAGGGCCTTGCTCATGCTAGGTAAATGCTGTACTACTGTCATCCCCAGGCCATTCCTGAGGTCAAAGCTGTAAGATTGTAAAAGCTAATCTAGACCTTTTGAGATGGAGAATAGCAAGAATGTGGAAAGTATTTTCACGCATAAAACAGAGACACATTGCCAGTGTTGTTACATGGTAGTGTTAGGAACTCACCAGAAGGTAGTGCTTAGAAATTACAAGTCCATCAGGACATTCTTGTGGTATTGTTTTTAAATTTATTACCTCTCTTCTGTATTCCATTCCATCAATTTTTTTCTTTTTCCTTCCGTCCCCTAAAATGAGTGAGATGAACCCTGTGCCAACACACTATGTTAGAAGAACACTTGTTTGCTTCTCATACTTAACTGGTTTATAGAATATATTATGTTCTACTTTAGTTATATTTGCATTTTGTTCCTCCTACTATATAAAAGCTCAATGTTGGCAGGGGTGCAGTTTCTTGTAGTTGTTTTTTAGCTGAACTTAGTATAACGTATGTCATGAGAATAGTCAGTTCTTAGTGAAAAGTGTTTCTGGGAGACGATTGTGCTGATCTGCATCTACATTTTTTCTTTGTTTCTTACAGCAAAGGCCTATTATAAAGCCTTCTGCTAAATATAAAGATGTTTCTCTATTTTCTGTCATATCAAGTATGAAGCATGCTTATTTTTATGTCTGTAAAGTTTGTAAGTATCTGTGGCATCACCTCATACATAGGAGCAAACTGTCAGAAGTAGATAGCTATTCTTCACAGAAGTTACGATTTAGTCAGATGTCCAGAATATAACACATCAAACCATCCTATATTCCTTTATGTTGGTATTTCACTTCCGAAGTCAACAGGGGTGATTGTGCACATTTAGGCCAAGAACACAGCAATGATGCTGAAGATTGGGGAAGACTTCAAGATCCAGAATTACAGCCATGCACTTATGATAATAGGTAAAGGCTTTGTAGACAAAAAGGATAGGGATTTGGTATTCCAAAGCCCTGGGGTTATGGAACTTGGTGCATAAGAAAGGGCTATCTGACAAATAGGTTTTCTTTCGCATACCAACTTTGATCAAACCTAGAGTCCCAGAATCAGTGAGAGGCATCCTTGGGGTTGAACCCTCTGAAAGGCAGGTCATCAGAAAGGAAAGCATAACCAGTTGGTGGAATGTACCTTAAAGCATGGTGGAGGGTATTGTGCTTTATAGCAAAAAAGGTAAAGCAATATAAGTGCTCTTGATGCTGCTCATTGCCTTCCTAATGCATATGTTGCAGAGAATTTCAGACGGAGTATCTTTTGTGTGACTGCAACATACTGTGGATGCATCGCTGGGTCAGGGAGAGGAACATCACCGTACGGGACACCAGGTGTGTTTATCCTAAGTCACTGCAGGCCCAGCCAGTCACAGGTGTGAAGCAGGAGCTGTTGACATGCGGTAAGGGAGAAATCAAAACACAGAAAACATTTTCCGTGTTTTGACTTCGCTACCATGCTTTTCTTGACAAACTATAAAATTCTTCTGATGGAACTTAAGTGTGGCTGTTGCTCTTCAAGGATTTTATAGTGTTTAGTTTATACTAACAGTTAAGCCGGATGGATTAGAACACATTGGTTTGATTGGCCAGCTTTCTTTTGACAACCAATTTCAAAGGATAGCACAGACACTCGGATCTTCATCAGTTGGCTAATCAAGAAATTGTTGATAATAATAAAATCTTAGGATGCTCACATTATTTGTTTTTGGGAATGTGAGTTGACAGAGTAGTTTTTTTAGTTTGTTTGTTTTTTGGTTCGTTTTTTGCAGTGCAGAAGATTGAACTTGGGGCCTCACATGTGCTAGTCAAGCGCTGGCCACCAAGTTACAATCCCAGCTCCATGATGCAGTGTTTTTGAAGGATAGTTTAGCAGTATACATCATTGTTTTTAATGCAGTTAGACCCAATGACTTTATATCTTGGAGTTAATTCTTAGGAACTGATCACCTGTAAATTATAAAGGCTTTGTAAATAAGCATCTCACGAGTTCTCAAAAAGAGGAATAATTTAATTACTTTGATGTATTAACCAATGAAGTAATAAGCAATTACTAAAAATCAAGATTCTAAAGAATATCTGAAGATAGGAGGGAAATAGCACATTTGCTATGTATCCAATGAAAAGCAAAACAAAGTACACCCTGTAAACCAAAACTAATCTGTAAAATAATATACAGTGATCCCTGTCTAGATTTTGAGATCAGTTTTCCTTCTTTTGTACTCTTTGAATCAAAATTTAAGGTTTATGAAAGGAAACAATAAACTCTAACATGTCTGCATTTGTGTCACTCACAGATAGCTAATGTTGATACCTTGGGGTATTATCTTCACTGTTTTTCCTGTATTTTGACAAAAATGTCATCAGACTCAATCTATTTTGTAACTTTTTAAAAGTTGAAATAATATAAACTTATTTCCTTATTTTATAAAATAGATGCGTTCTAATGCATTATAGACATAGCCTTAATTTAGCAGCTTCCTTATTACTGCATATTTAGCTTGCTATTGATTTCTCTCTCCATCAAATATGCAAGTATTAATTTCTTTAGATGTATTTTTTCATATTTGTTATTATTTAGGATTCACTACTGCTAAAAATAGAATTGTTGTGTTAGACAAATGAACTAAATGTTTTAAAGACTTTTAATGAGCCAGTGGTAGTTGTGTACATTTTTGATGTATATTTAAAATCTTTCCCTTTAATTTTTCTGACTGGAAGGAAACATATCTTTTAAAAAGTTATTGTAAAGTATAGCATCGTAAAAATGCTTTTTCTTCCCTGTTTTATTTAAATATTCTAAGTTTTTTGCAATAGTATGCATACATTTACAGCCAGAAACCAGTATTTTAATCAAAGATAGTAGTCTCCAAAATGTATCTCTATCCCCCCTTTATAGTCTGAATTTTTTTTTCCAACAGGTTTTAATGTTCTGTGTTCATACAAGTATGTAAAGCACATTGACCATATTTACCCTTCTTTACCTTTGCCATTCCCCGTCCTCCTCCCACTAGTACTCAAAGTGTACTTTAAAAAGTATAAATACCAGCATCTACTCATAATTCCATTCTCTAGATCCAAGTGTTAGTTTACAATTTGTTTGATTTGCTTCTGACAGTTTTATGCTACCACCATAGGAACAAGTCTCAATGCCAGAAAGTACTTTGAAATGGTTTCATTTAAATTTTACTTAATTTTGTTTTCATCTGTGACCCACTTACATTACTCTCTGATTAGTTACTAAAGCTGAGTAACTTTGTAAAGAAAAGACCGTGTCAGTGAGTGACCATGTGGGAGGCTGAAAGTTTAAGATCTTGTTGATTTTGCCTCTGGTGCAGGCCTCATGGGGAAGGCATGTGTGGGAGCAAGAGCTCTCATCGCAAGACAAGAAGACAGAGAGCAAGCGTTTAGGGGTCAGGCTCTGGCAGTTATAACTGCTCACTCTCAGGAGAACTCATACTTCGAGAGCATAGCCCTATAATGGTCTAAAGGCCTCCCACTAGGCCCCACCTCTTAAAGTTTCCATCACCTCCATTGCCACACTAGTGACTAAACTTTCAACACATGAACCCTTGGGACACATGCAAACCATAGCCCAACTTCACTCAGTAGAGTTAGAATGCTGATTACTGAAGGAATATTTGTTGTTCCATGTTTGTAATTTTGTGCGGAATTTTTGTAACTTAATTATAGGGTGTGGAAGATATTACTGTGTTTTTTTACTGTGTCATTGTTTTCCTGTCTAGATCCTCCGCTTGAGTTGCCATCCTTCTACATGTCTCCCTCTCACCGTCAGGTTGTGTTTGAAGGAGACAGCCTTCCTTTCCAGTGTATGGCTTCATATATTGATCAGGACATGCAAGTATTATGGTATCAGGATGGGCGGATAGTTGAAACTGATGAGTCTCAAGGTATTTTCGTTGAAAAGAACATGATTCATAACTGCTCATTGATTGCAAGGTATGTTTTTTGGATAAATTATCTCTACTTTTTTTGGGTGAATTATCTCTGGATTTTATTTATCCTTCTGGAGTTGTAATGTTAAACTCAAATTTGGTTTGATACTTTATTTTCTTGCATTTAAACATGAATATGTATGGTATTTTTCTTTCCTGATTGGTACTCATCTTTTAAAGTTATTTAGCCACTTTTCCATCTAATTATTGAAAGAACAGACTTAAGTCTTTCGTTTAAAGATTTAGGAGGAAAAATAAAAGTTTTTAGTTTCTAACTAGTTTTTGCTGCTAAACTCTTATTTTCATTTTTAGGAATGACTTTATTTTCACTATTTAATCCAGTTATTAATGCTACATTTTAAGATAACTTCCTCTTCCCACCTACTAGCATAAAGAGATACAGCATCTGAACTGTAACCCCCAATTGATGTGAGTGCCAAAATAGTTAGTTTGAATGAACTTTAAACAAGCTATAAAATATGTATGATATTATCACTTACCAAGTATTTTATTTTGGTATTAAATTTCCTCTCTTTATTTCCTGCCTTTCTTCTTTCTTATTCACTTGCCTACCTACCTAGAACTTGGCTTGGGTTATTTATTAGGGTAGAGCTGCAGTTTCCAAACTTTGCCAGGACAGAGAAGTCATGAAAAAGTTCCCAAGAAAGTAAACATTCTTAGAGTTGAGATTAAAGCCTTAGAACTTCTGGGATCAAATTTCCTACTTCATAATTTCTTTGTTGAGACTTATCTGTTTATTGGAAGCATGTTTTCACTTAATGTGTTTTATTTTCAATTCTCAGTCAGCTTGGGGTCATCATTACTGATGACTTTTTAAAAAAATATGGTTTATATTCTGTTTTTTAAAAACATTGCTTTTATAGTAATAATGTTGGGTTATATCCCGGACATTATGAAAAATTTACTATAGATTGGCAAAGTACAGCTAGGCTATGGGTAAAGTTCCACTGGGCCTATGAACTAAGAATATACATTTTTGAATGGTTACATTTCCAGTGGTTACATAAGTATCCTTTATGTTGCTCTTTAGGCAGCAAAATCTAAAATATTTACTATCTGGTCCTTACCCCTCTGGATTTTTTTTGTAGTTTTAGGAGGAGAGTTCAGTTTTATCTGGTCAGGCACTCAGCTTGGCTGAACTGAGTTTGCTCAGTTCTTTGATAGGTGGTAGAAATCTGAGTGGATTTTATGCAGGAGATGTTTGTGCTTCTAGCTAGACTCCTTACTACCTCTGTCCTAATTTTTCCAGCCAATAAAATTGCTTGATATTGGGCAAAAGCCATGGAAAAAACGTTCTGGTTATTCTCCAGAGACAATACCTTCTTCCTAGTGTCAACTATTCTTTAGTCCTGCCTGCTTTGGATCACTGTTCATGTGCCTAAATGTCCAAATAGTTACCAATTTAGTAATGTTTTCAGAGCTTATCATTGCTAACTGTAGGAAGGTGGTTTAATATGAGCTATCCTACCATTACCAGAGGCCAAATTCTCTTATTAGGGTTATAGGATTAATTATTAGAAATGAAATATGCATTGTTACATTATTCTTACTGTGGTGATAATTATACTGGCATATACATACGTCAGAACTCATCAGATTACACACTCTTAGCAGTTTATTGTATAAATAGACAATAATTGACATAGTACAACAAAACCTTAAAAATAGAACAGAGCTCTTCTGTATAAAAGAGCTTTGATTAAAAGTTTGAGTTGTGTGACTATAAAGTAAGATTTACTTTATATATCTATTTCTACATGCCATGCCATGCTTAAGTTGATCTAAATGCTTTATAGCAGTCCAAAAGTTTTAATTTTAAGGATAACAACTTAGTCTAACATTTTTGTTGGTGGAAACACTTGACTACTATGAAAAATCTTTCATAAGAAGACTGAGAATTCCTTTACTCAGAGTTATCCCCAGAATAATAACAGTGTTGTAAGAGAAGGAAATCTGTGGTTATTGAGTTGGATGATGTGAAATCCTTGTTGATTCTTGCTTGGTCTCATGTCACTGATCCTTCATCAGCGTGAAACAGTGGTTGTAGTTTTCTTAGAAGATCAAACTGAAGCCTCTTCTTTCTCTGTAAATCTCCTTAAATCTCCAGATCTGCTGACTGGAGGATTCCTGGACATTTTATTTAAGTGATTGCTTTTAGGCATTGAAGGTATTGCTAAGTTATCCATGAAAATGTTCGCAAATTATATGCGGGCAGCAGATCTGACAGGGGATGTTATCATGCCCTGGGATACCACGCTGAATCCCCAGAAATGGCTGTGGTATATTTGAACAGTTTGAGGAGTGTGCTGATCTTGACGTTCATTGCTACAAAGCTCTGAGTTCTCAGTAGTGTGCAGGGTCCACACTGACCGTGCTACATCCCTTTTGAAGGAATCATACTTTGGAATTCAGGGCCTTTGGCAGTTGTGCATGCAGTCCAAAATGGGTACTCTGTGAAAATTATTGTGGATCAAGACATGAGTGTCAGTTTTCTGATCTGAATCAGATGTTTGATTATTTTTATAGTACCCCACAGGCAGTCATATCCCATTTTGAGGTCAACTTGGCTATTTAAGGATGAAGTAAAAGTTCTATAACTTTTATCATTTCTTTTTTACTCTATTTTTTTATAGTTATATTATTTTTTTCAAATGGCTACTAAATTATTGTGACATAGATACACTTTTCTTTGTTTGGTTTTTCAGAGACAGGGTTTTCCTATGTAGCCCAGGCTGATCTTGAACGGTTATCCTCTCACTTGCTGGAATTATAGGTGTGCACCACCACACCTAGATCAATAAACAGTTTTGAGATTTAATTTGCTAATTGGAACTATTGTGGAAAATTTTGGGGAATTAGTGTTACCATGAAAGAGTTGCCTAGTCAGCGAAGACTCTGTGGATTAAGGAAGGCTTTTCATTGCTGTAATTTCTGCATACTGCTTCCTAGTTCAGTAAATATCCACTTGAAGTAGAATGCTTACAGACTTTCTGGTTATTTAAATTTAATACTGAACTAGATTTTTTTTTGCCTCTTGAAAACTTATTACAGCTGTTTACTTATTTTCCTAACTTAGTAAAGATAATAATCGCTTGATGATTCAGAATATACCTGGGCCTTAGTCTTTATTTGAAAATTTGCTACAGCTTTTAAAGATTTAGGAGACCAAACAAGTTAGTATTAAATTGAAGACATAATTTTCTAAGTTAATTAAAATTATACATGCTTTATGTCTCATTATATCTTATCTTTTGTATCTACCTAATAGTAAGCATAGTGGGTCATGTGAGGGGAAAAAGAGTTAATTGATGGTTTTGACATATGCCCTTTAATATTAGGGAGTTATAATTTCATCTTAAAAATAGGATTTACTGATAAATATGTAGAATTATGGCTCTTTTATTAGTGGAAACACCTTTACATGGAAACTTACTTTATAAAAACATTAGTTGGTCATTTACTAAATGTCTTTAGAAATTTAACTGGTTATTGCTAGAATAAGCCTTTTTCCACAAAATATTTCACCTTAAACATTTTCTTAATTATATACTTCATAATGGTATTGCCCCGTCTTCATGCTTGAACATTTTGCTTAGTGTCTTTGAAAATGTAGACCTGACTTGGAAGTGTTTCCAGGTTTTTCAGAAACATTGTGACTTTTGCCATTCATGTGGGCATTCTGCTCCCCAGCCAAGCTTTCCGTCCTCACTGTGCTAGGAGAAGTCTCACACAATGTGTACTTTGCACTCCATTTGTGCTCCTCTTATTACTCTTACTGTTGTATTTTAAGGGTCTCTTTCCCTGCTGTTTTGACTTACACTAAAGGCCTTAAAAGGAGCAGTAAACTTATTATTATTATTGCTGTTCCTTTTTGTCTAGCAAGTGCTTGGCCCACTGTATATATTCAGATGTATTTGCTAAATGAATGATTGGAACCCATATTGCTTCTCTTTTTGCCTAATCATTGTCAAAAAATTTCTTTTTCATGCAGTGCCCTGACCATTTCTAATATTCAGGCTGGATCTACTGGAAATTGGGGCTGTCATGTCCAGACTAAACGTGGGAACAATACAAGAACTGTGGATATTGTGGTATTAGAAAGCTCTGCACAGTACTGTCCGCCAGAGAGAGTGGTAAACAATAAAGGTGATTTCAGGTCAGTGACATGGAAAGTATTGGTAAAGTCTGATTCATCTCAAATCATTTTATTCCCAAAGGCACATAATGGGCTCCCATCCTCAGTAACAAAATTAGAGAAGTAAGTGTGTGTGTGCACGTGCATGTGTGTGTGTGTGTGAGAGAGAGATAGTAGACATCTGTCTGTCTGTCTTCCTGTCTGTCTGTCTTTGTATGTCTAAGAACTATCCTCTGGAATGATAATTTCAGAATTATTTATGGACATGAATAAAAAGATTTTTGAACTTCATCTCAGAACTGTTGATTCAAGACTCTCAAAGTTGAGTGGTTTCTAATCAATGGTTTTGTTGTAGAAGTTAAAATCCACTCTTTTAGGGCAGTATTTTGAATGCTCTTAAGATAGTGCAGATTTCAGACCAAGTTAATGGTGTTGCCTGTTTTTTGAAGGACTCATTTGTGGATGAACTTTGGAGGGTTTTGTGTTGCTAAGTCACTTTTAACTATTGGCAGTGGTGTGGATATTGTAATTGGGAGAGACAGTATCTCATTTTCTTCCCCTCTTCAAGTCTAAATGACAGCTGTTACAGAGCCTGCAACTTACGGGGCCATTATAAATCCGGGAGCTTTTTGCTGGTATCTCTGTTAAGATGGGTTAATTTTTTAGTTGAAGGTTCAGAACTTGGGAGAGGCAATGATTTTTACCTTAGACTCTCTTTACCTTCAAAGTTGCTTTAATACATCTTAAGATACACTAATAATATTCTTTAGGTTCAGAGATTTTACTAATGACTGCATAGTTGATACAAAAAAAGGAAATCACGGCTCTTTTAAGTACCATAAAGATTGTTTAATACTGTGTTTAGGTTTGTCTCTTGTCTTCTGCTGACACCTCTTGGTTGTAAGCCTAATGTCTCAAGAGTAGGAAAGCCATTTCCTATTAATGTTTCCAATCCAGGAAGAAGAAGCAAAAATAACAACTTTAGCTGACCTAGTTCATTGTCTTTATTGTTGTTCTTTGTACATATGTTTCTTGACACGAGCATATGGAAATCAGCATTTATTACTGTCAATGGATAAGTTCTTTATGTGCATCAAATGTTGACTTGGCCTGGCAGGGTGGTGCACACTGTAATGCCAGCTCTTGGGAAGCAAGGCAGAAAGAATGAGAATTCAAGGCCACCTAGCATGTTCAGGTCAGCCTGAGATACACAGTGAGACCCTGTCTCAAAACAGCAGCAAACAGTAACAAAATACAATTCAACTTGTACTTTATAAGTTTCGTAATTTTGTTATATTTAGCATCTTTTGTTAAATAATCATACAGTGTTTTCTGTTTATGGTAGATTTTCTGTTTTATTCATGGTTTCTGAGTGTTTTACGTTTTTAAAAGTAGAAGAAACATCTATTTAACTTAATGAATTATTTTTTGACACTCCTTAGGACACTATATAATGAAACTCCCACTGCATTAATAGGACTTAGTTTAGTGTTGATTGATTTGTTTATGTACTGTTTGATAATGAATTCTATTTTGATGTGATACAGTTTAGCTGTTCCTCTGTTATGCATCACCTGTAACTTGTATTAAGCATGCTTAATTTCTTTTTAAATTTTATTTATTTATTTATTTATTTATTTTTGTAGTTCTGGGGCTTGAACTCAGGACCTTCACCGTGAGCCACTCCACCAGCCTTATTTTTACAAGGGTTTTTGAAGATAGTGTTTCACGGAACTATTTGTCTGGGCTGGCTTCGAACTGTGATCCTCCTGATTTCTGCCTCCTGAGTAGCCAGGATTACAGGCGTGAGCCACTGGCATCTGGCTTTTTAAAATTTTATTTTTATTGTTGTACTGGGGGTACAATGTGACATTTACAGAACTGCTTACAATATACCATAGTTGAATTCACCCTTTTATCATTCTCTTTTATCCTTCCCCACCATTCCTGGAATAGTTTCAGTAGTTCTCATTTTTCCATTTACAAACATGTATATACAATATTTATATCATATTCACCTTCCTACCCTCTTTCCTTATATCTGGTCTCTCCCACTGGTACCAGTACCCCAGATAGGACCTGTTTGGCCTTCCTATTCTCTGTTTTGGTTAAAAAATGACACTTTTGTTTGTTTAAGATAAGCTATACAGGGTGTTTCATTGTGACATTTCCATGTATTATAACTGGAATTGGTTTATTTCTTCTATTTTTCTCTTTTCTACCTTAGTCCCCTTCTTATGGTGATTTCAACAGGTTTTAACAATTCTATATTCATTCTTATATAAAATGTTCATCAAGCATATTCACATTTATAATTCCTTCTTTTACCCTCCCTCTCTCATGTGACCTCCCCTTGGTGTTTTTCATAATATTATTTGTATTTGTATTGGGTCTATAGTCCACATATGACAGAAAACATGCAGCCTTTGGTTTTCTGAACCTGGATCACTTCACTTAAGATGACATTCTCCAGTTCCATCTATTTATCTACAAATGATAAAATTTTATTCTTCTTTATGGCTCAATAAAATTCCATTGTATATAAATACCACATTTTTTTAATCCATTCACCAGTAGTGGGGCATCTTGGTTATTTCCATAGTTAAGCTAAGCTAAACTATTATGAATAATGCTGCAATAAACATGGGTGTACAGGTGCCTTTATTGTAAACTGACTTACATTCCTTCTGATATATCCCTAGAAGTAGTATTGCTGGATCATATGGCAGTTCTATTTTTAGTTTTTTGAGGAGCCTCCATACTGCTTTACATAATGGTTGTACTAATTTACATCAACAGTGTATGAGGTTTCTTTTTCCCCACATCCTCACCAATACTTGTGTCCTTGATGATAGCTGTTCTAACAGGAATGAGGTGGAATCTTAACGTGGTTTTGATTTATATTTCCTTTGCCAGGGTTGTTGAGCATTTCTTCATATGTTTTGGCCATTTGGACTTCTTATGAAAAAGCTCTGTTCAGGTCATTTGCACATTTCGTTATTGGGTCATTGATTTTTCTGGGAGGTTAGTTTTTTGAGTTCCCTGTATATTCTGGTTGTTAATTTGTTGTCAGATGTATAGTGGGCAAAGATTTTCCATTCTTGGGGCTGCCTCTTCAGTTTGGTGACCATTTCTTTTGTTGTATAGAGCCTTTTAATTTCATGTAGTTCCATTTGTCATCCTTTCTCTTAGTTGCTGAGCCATTTAAATTCTACTTAGGAAGCCCTTGTGTATACTTATTAATTCCATTGTGTTCCCTGCTCTTTTTGCACTAGCTTCAAAGTTTCAGGTCTTATATTAAGATCCTCAATTCACTTTGAGTTGATACTAGTACAGGGTGACAGGCATGGATCTAGTTTCAGTTTCCTGTAAGCAGATACCCAGTTTTCCCAGCAACATTTGGTAAGAGTCTGTCTTTTTTCCATTGTATGTTTTTTGTGCCTTTGTCAAAAACTAGGTGGGCATAGCTGCATGGATTCATATTTGCATCTTCTATTCTGTTTCATTGGTCTTCATATCTGTTTTTGTGCCAGTATCATGCTGGTTTTATTGCTATGGCTCTTTAGTATAGTTTGAAGTCGAGTATTTTGATACCTCCAGCATTGCTCTTTTTTTTGCTCAGTATTGCTTTGGCTATCATGGTCTTTTGTGCTTCCAGATGAACTTTACGGTTGATTGTTAAATGAACTTTAGGATTGATTTTTCATTGTCTGTGATGAATGTCAGAGGAATTTGATGGCCATTGCATTACATGTAGATTGCTTTTGGTAGTATAGCCATTTTCTCTATATTATTTGGCCGATCCATGAGCATGGGAGATCCTTCCATCTTTTGTAGTCTTCTTGGATTTCTTTTCAAAGGTTTATAGTTGTCATTGCAGTCTTTCACTTCCTTTGTTAAGTTTATTCCTAAGTAGTTTTTTTTTTTTTGAGGCTATTGTAACTGGAATAGTTTTCCTATGTTCTTTCTCAGTCTGTTCATTTTGATATATAGAAAAGCTACTGATTTTTATAAATTGATGTTGTAAACGACTACTGTGCTGATGCTGTCTAGGAGTTTTTTAGGTCTTTTAGGTATACGATTCTATCATCTACAAATAGGGATTGTTTGACTTCTTCCCTTGCTGTTTGTATTCCTTTTATTTTTTCCTGTCTTATTGCTCTGGTTAGGAATTCTAAGATTATGTTGAATAAGAGAAAGTGGGTACCCTTGTTTCAGTCTTGACTGTAGGGGAAATGGTTTCATTTTTTCCCCATTTAGTATGATGTTGGCTTAGGCTTGTCATATATATATAACTTTTATTATATTGAGATACATTCCTTTTGTTACTGGTTTCATTACAGCTTTTATCATGAAAGCATGTTGAATTTTGTCAAAGGCTTTTTCTGCACCTATTAAGATGATCATGAGGTTTTTGTCTTTGCTTCTGTTTTAATATGCTGTATTACAGTAAATGATTTGTGCATGTTGAACCATCTCTGCATCCTTGGAATGAAACTAACTTGATTGACCTTTTTGATATGTTGTAGAATTTCGTTTGCCAGTATTTTATGAGAGTTTTTGAAAATATGCTTAATTTCATTCCCAGTTTTAAAGAAATAGAGCTCAGATAACAAAGCTTTCTCATAGCCCTGAGGGGTGATGATCATATCACAGGTTTATGTAGCCACAGGTATATACACACACACATATATATATAGAGAGAGAGAGAGAGAGAGCTCTACTGGTATAGCGAGTATGTTCTCCCTGATAAATTTTGTTGTGTGTTGTGTTTGAGGTCCTTAAGACCCCTCCATGTTCAGAAATTTCTTAGAAGCATTTGTGGAATTTAGTATAGAGTTGTACTCACAGCTACAACATATGATGTCAATGTAGCATGATGCATAGCTGAATCCTAAGGGGAAAGACACTGTAGGCTCCTTTATGCCTGGGGGTCACCCAGACTGTCCTCCTCGAGCAGCAGTGGAAAGTCAGTAGCTTCTGTGTAGTGTTTCTGCCTAGGAAGGCCCATTAGAGACTTAGCATCCATGCCTTTTACTGGGGACTGGTCATGTAGGCCCTCTCTTCTTAGTATGTACCTAATTCCAGACTCCGGGAGGAAAACATGTGCTGGGCATAAACTGTAATGCTTGCCCCAGCAGTCTAAGCAGAGTGAGCCCATATACCACTTAACTTGTGATGGCAATACTCTAATCCTTCAGCTTTCCAAACAATCATGGAAGTGCCATGTTTGCAAAAAGACCTTCCTAAGGATGCCGTCTGTGACCTACTGTGGTACCCTTTTCTTCTCATATACTAACCATGCTTGTGCAAAAATTCTTGTCCAAATTGTGTTTATATTGGGCCAGAGCCTAATGGCTATATAAGCCAGAGGTACAATAACATTTGCTAAAAAGAAGCACTAGTTTTCTCTTTTACTAAGTGTGACACAGTGTCCCTGTCCATTTGTTTAGGACTTAAGAAAACATTTCATTGTGTTACGGTATTGAAATATATTCAGCTGGTGGGTTAAAGCAGACTAGTCAGTGTTAACATTGGCAATACTGGAGTTTGAACTCAGGGCCTGGTGCTTGCTAGGCAGGTGCTCTACTGCTTGAGTCATGCCTCCAGCAGTCCATGTTAATTTTTTGTTTTTTAAATCTTTATTATAGGTCTTTAACCTTCAAGGAGTTGTGTTTCTTCTTGATTTTTCTCTGTGATTATAGATAGGTCCTAATCCTTGGTTTTTCCTCCGCATGTCTTGATTACCTCTGTTTTTCTAACTACACGGTTTTGTGTTCACCTGTAGGTGGCCCAGGACATTGGCAGGCATTACTGCATATCTGCAGTGTACCCGGAACACTCATGGCAGTGGGATCTATCCTGGGAGCCCACAGGATGAGAGAAAGGCTTGGCGCAGATGTGACAGAGGTGGCTTTTGGGCAGATGATGATTATTCTCGCTGCCAGTATGCAAATGATGTCACTAGAGTTCTCTATATGTTTAATCAGGTAACTAGTCACTCAAGTTATGAAGAAAACATGGTATTCAAATCAAACATGTAAGTTTGTTTTTGTTTGTTTGGTGTGACTGGGATTTGAACTTGGGGCTTTGTGCTTGCAAAGCAGACACTTTACCTCTTGAGCCACACCTCCAGTCTACTTTGCTGTGGTTATTTTGGAGATGAGGGGGGTCTCATAAACTATTTGCCTGGGCTGGCCTCAAACTGTGATCCTCCTGACCTCCAGTCTCCCAAGTAGCTAGGATTACAAGAATGACCCACCTATGACACCTGGCTTTCTTTTCTTTTCTTTTTTTTTTTTTTTAAATACTAGGTAATGTATAAAGATTTGGTATAAATACTTCAGTTGATTTGTCTGTCTTTGGGATTAGGTGCTTCATGACATCCTTCTTTCTATTTACTGCATGACTTTTTTACCTTTATTATCTGCATCAACCAGATAGAATCCTAGCCATGGTTCCAGACCACATGGAAAGTCACATCTTGGGTTTCATTTATAATCCCCTTATAGCCAGACACAGTGGCTCTTGCCTGTAATCCCAGCTACTTGGGAGGCAGAAATCAGGAGGATCATGGATCAAGCCTGGGCAAAAAGTTAGGGTTATTCCATCTCAACAAATAAGCTGGGCGTGGTGTACATGCCTGTCATGGTGAACACAGTCCAGGCCTTGATTAACTCTTTCGGATAATAAGCACTTGGAAGGTGGCTTCTGTGTTAGGCATTTTTTTCAGCTCCTTAGCACTAGTTTACCCTTTTTGCTAAGTCAGTGTTTAAGTCAATAAATAAGCAAATGTAAAACATTACTGGCAGTGCATGACAGTAAAGATAAGTACTAAATAAGCAGTTCACATTTTTGCAGGAGGAGCTCGGGGCAGGGATCGATCTCTCCCAGCTGGAGTACTCAGGAAGTTCTTTCTGAGCAATTGGGAGGGAGGTGTGCTTAGAATTTGAACAAGCAGAGAGCTGGAGATGGGGCAGCATGTTTACTGGGTTATGTTTTTAGATATCATTCCAAGTTTAAAAAAATTCCCTCACTTTAGTTTCATTTAAAATTACAGTTTTCTTGGGTTTGAAAAAGCATTTTAAGATAATGATAAGTAAATAAATAATAGTTTCCATTCATTGCCATGTTTTGAAATTCAGAGTTAAAATGTCAAAATTTTGCTGGTCATTTTGTAAAGTGCTTCTATTTGCCTGTTTATGTAGATGCCTCTCAATCTTACAAACGCTGTGGCAACAGCTCGGCAATTACTGGCTTACACCGTGGAAGCCGCCAACTTTTCTGACAAAATGGATGTTATATTTGTGGCTGAAATGATAGAAAAATTTGGAAGATTTACCAAGGAGGAAAAATCAAAAGAGGTATTTTTAAAGTTAGATTTGTAGCATACAGTGTCAACAAATGATAATGGAACAGAGTTTAATTTAGATTTTTAAAGCCTGTTTGTGTTTGCTTTGTTTGACCTACATACACCTTTTAATTTCCATAATTGTCCTCCAGAAATTTGTGCTGCAGCTGTTGTAGTAACCTGTGTGTTGTTGGGACATGAAGGTAGACTGTCAGTTCTTCATTGTTACCGAACCATGATACACAGAGGTGGTTATGGGAAAAGCAGCTTTTTGCCTCCATGCTGTGAGGTACCCTTGGCTGCTTATTTTGCCTTCTGGGATTTCTTGTATGGACATAGCCCTGTGCTCCTACATACTATGAGTTTTAGTTAACCAAATCTTATTGTCAGCTGACTGATTGGCTTTCATAATGTCCTGGAGAAACAAGAGGCTGCTTAGAAACTTTTTTGAAGTTCCAAATGATTAGAACATAAAAGTTATAAAAATTTAGTGAAATGATACTTGCTTGAAGAATTATCCTAATTTGAACATTACACAACAAATACATGTATCAAAACATCACGATACCCCACAAATATGTACAACTTATATACCTATACATATAAGTTAGAAACTAAGAAAAAAAGCTTAGTGACTTTGTGAAGGGGTTTGTTTTTACTGGGCCATGTTAAAACTATGTTTGTTAACTTGGTATCCTTGAGGAGAAAATAAGAACAATGACAAATTTTAGAGTGAATGAGTAGCAAATTAGAAAATATTCTAAGTAATTTTTAAGAGGCAAAGTTAATGTTTCCTTAAGCCGTAACTTTTAAGCTATGTGAGAACTTTATGCATATTGCTTCTTGTGTGATGTGACTACCTACACCAAAAATGAATTCCGGAGGTAGAAGGAATCTGGATTAGTGAAAATTAAGTGGTTTATCAAGGGGTACAGAGTTATGTTAGATTCAGGGTTGGAAGCAGATCCAGAGTCCCTCCTCATCTCTGATCCAGAAGTGTTTTTTGCATTAACTCTTTCACTACAATGTCATCTTGTCTTGGACAGCTGTGGGAACACACTGGTTAAACAAAGCCTGTGTATTTCTTTATGTAGGACATCTTGGATCCATTGATTTGTTGAAAGGTAAAAATAATATGTCTTGTTTACCTAAATTATTCAAGAATTTTTTTTTTTGGTATAATTAATATCTGTTAGTATCTTGCTTTTTTGGGGGGTGGGGTGGGGTGGGGTGGAGTTTGAACAGAGGGCTTTGCATTTGCTAGGCTCCACCTGAGCCACACCTCCAGCTCTTTTTTGCTGTGTTTATTTTGGAGATAAGGTATTGGGCCTGGACTACAATCCTGTTTTATGCTTCCCACTGTAGCTGGGATGCCAGGTGCATGGCACCACACCCAGCTTTTTTTTCCATTGAGGTGGTAGTCTCACAAACTTTTTTTGCTGAGGGCTGTCCTTGAACCACTATCCTTCCAACCTCAGGTACCCAACTAGCTAGGATTAGGTGTATGAGACACTAGCACCTGGCTATATCTTGCATTTTGATGGTAACATTCAGAACCACTGCCCTAGTGTGTTAGGTCCTTTATTTGATGGGATGTAGTTACTAAAGGAAGGAAAATAGGTATGTGTATGTAAAAGGGACTCAGCAAACTGGTGACATCAGCATTGTTATCTGAACTTGGAAACTGGTTTTCTAATGGACACTCCTGCTGCTTGATTGCGTTTGGGCACAGCTGCTTCCCTATGGTAAGTTTTCTTAGCACTGGTAGAAGCTAACCGCTACTATTGCTGTCTGTTTGCTATTGCTTGTAATCACAGGTTAGCTGCCCACATGATGGGTAGTTCTTTCTGAAAGTGGAGTAAAACATTCAACTGGAATAATTGTAATGACATTTGGAATGTGAGCACTGAAAAAGATTTTTCAATGCAAAATTATAATACATATTCTTTCCCTGGCTGCTCTGTTTGATGTGAGGAGCTCTTGCTTACCTCTCAACTTGGTGAGCACATGGTGCTCCGTGGTGCACGTTGTTTAACTGTTTGCCAGTGTGTGGAAGGAACAGTCTGCTGTCTTGATATGTTCTTAGGTGGAAGCACCCTGTTGAATTGAAAGTAGATGTGAGTTGTCGATTCATCATGCACCTTTTTTAATTTTTAAAAAGGGAATGGTATGTTCCCCCTGTAACTTGCAGAGTTTGTATGCACAAGTGAGAAATTTCAGGTGGATCTATTTCGAAAATAGTTGCAAAACTTTAGTCTAGTTTTACAGGGTTGTGAAATTAATTCTCTTGTGATCCTGGAAGCAATGAAGGAGATTTCTTTTTAAAAATTGTGTTTTATTACTAAAAATTTAGGTTGAAGGAGATTGCTGTCATTTTTACTGGTTAATATAATAAAGTTACTCATTTCCTTTGGAAACAAGTGACAGCAACTTATTAAATAGGAAAAATGGTAAAAATATTCAGGATTGAATCATACAGTTATAAATGTAGTATTACCTGGGAGGTGGTGACTGACATACTACACAATTCTGTGGAAACTGTAGGGTACTGTTCACTGTTTATTAGTGTAGTAAAAAGAAATTCTGTGGTGTAAGGGCTTCATTTTAAGTTAATTACCACAGCATTAAATTATGCTAAGAGATCCTAAAATGCATATAGCTAAGATGCACAAATAATTAAATTGATTTTTTTGAATTATGTCCAACAAGTTGCTCTGCTATGGATAATTTCATAACTAAAATATTGTGAAGCAGTCACTTTTTAAACTGTGATTGAGTCTAGCCAATGCAAGCTCTGTTTTCTTAGGACAGGTACTAAAAGCTATCAAATTGTCAGATCTAAAAGATGCATTTAGTAGTCTTTTAAAAACAGTTGAAGGTTGTCTATCAGGCAACATAAGTGTCTATTGCATATTTACTAGAGTGATTTTTCTTATGAGTCAATCTGTATCCATTTCAGAAGATAAGAAGGTGCATGAGGAGTAGATTTGGTTATGCCTTACAATCTTTTGTTGTGCTCCAGTGTAAAATATGTGAGTGAGATATGCCCCTTAGGCTAGTTTACCACTAAGTTCATTTAGTTCATGTTTATGTACAGTTTTTACAAATTTATAGTTCTTTCATTTATTCATTTTAAAGTAACCACTTCTGTTTTGACTGTTATGATTCTTTTTTATTTCTAGCTTTTCCATTTTTTTCCCCCCATTGTCTCACTTGCTGAGTGTCTAGCTTTGTGATTTCCCCAGGACATAAGCACAGAGATTGCTGCTCTGAGCCTCTGCCTTTCCCCATTCCCAGTTTCTGATTCAGTAATTCTGGGGTGGGTTCTAAGAATTTACCTTGCTTGTCTGTTCCAGGTGATGCTGAACAGTGTCTTTGCCATAGGTTTTGGGAACCACTATCGTATCTTTTACCCTTATGTTGCTCATTTAAAATTTTTTTCTTTTGGAGAACATTTTTATTGGAAAATTTCAAAAGTATTAGAGAATATTATCATTAGGTCTGTGTTATCCTCTCACCTAGATTCAATAATTTTTAGTATTCATTAACCTGTTTCATCTATCCTATACATTTATTTCTTTTGCTCTCCCTCCTTTTCCGCCCTACCTCCCTCCCTTTCTTCTTCTCTCCTTCCTCTCTTCCTTTGTTCCTCCTTCCCTTGCTCCCTCCCTCCTTTTCTTCTTAGTGTTACAGTGTGTAAACCCAAATTCTGTATACCATATTTTGTTCATAATTTTCCAAAATAAAAGTAAATTAAAAAATTTAAGCTAGTATTAAGGACTTAGTCCTTTTTTGTAGCTCATATTCTGTTTTCCTTCATCATGACTTACTGAAACCGTCAACCTTGTGTGTGGTTACCTTGCTGAATTAATTCATACAATCTTGCTGTTATCAGTGGTTATCTAGACAGTTAGGTCATCAGCAAATAATTATTAGTTTATCTGTTCCTATATAAAATGTATCCATGTACTGTTTTTTTTTTTTCCTTTTTTCTGGTTGTACATTGGCTAAGAGCCTTTAAAAGTGTGGGTAAATATTGGTGATGAGAGGCCTCCATGAGAATGGGCTAAGACTTCACTTCCCTATCATATTAATTTGCTTCTGTTAATAGTCCAGGGACACTACCAAGATTGGGGACTCACTTTGGTTCTTTTTTTGGCAGCACTAGGGTTTGAACTCAGAGCCTCACACTTGGTAGGCAGGCACCCTTACTACTTGAGCCACTGTACCAGTCCTGGGGACTCACTTTGAAATTAATTCTTAGCTTAATGGTCTTCATACCACTAAAATAGCATGAAGTCAGACCTCTGCTCTGTGTGGAGGTCAACTTGTATTTATAAATTTTCAGAGAAAAAAAAAATGTTGTTCTGCTGTGTACCTTAGTGGAGACGTCTGTGAGAGCTAAGTTACTGCTGGCTGACCCTGACACTGATGGTGCTGCTCTCCTTTGGTTATCTACACTATTACAGGTGACCTTCCTTTGGCTTCTGTGAGGCCTTGTGCTGAAGTCAGAGCCCAGCTCGCTGTCAAGCCCTTAGGATTCCTGCTGTCATTACTTTTGGCCTCTGGAGGATGTTGTATTTACAAAGATAACTTTGTTTCCTTCAGTGTTTTCACGTTTTTTCAGGAGAGGCATCCAGAGTCTAGTCTTCCATACTTTCAGAAAGCGGAAGGCATGTACAATTTTATAATCAGAAAGAAACCTAATTCCAAACTGCTTTCCTTGGGTGCTTGGAAGAAATCCTACAAGTTCATTTGTTGTAAAGGTGGATGAAGGTGTTGCCCATTAAAATCTGTCTCTCTTGAATGGCTTAAAGGTCCCAAGAATTTTTTTATAAAAGCAACTTTGTCTGCCTTGTGAAAATCTTCTCCTTTGTGTTCATAGTTGTAAAATCGTCTTTGTTGCCTTGATAAGAAACACATCAAGAATCAGAGTTTCCCTAGTCATAGTTGCTCTGCCATTGACACATTTTTATGTATGTCTCTTTTTTCCTCTTGTTTTCGATTTCTCCTCATTACTGTTTATGTTTTGTTAATTAAAGATCTATTATTGTTTTGGTAAGCTACCACAGATCCTTTCTACAAGAAAACGGAGAATAAATGCAATGCTTATTCCATGCAATGTTGTCCTAACCTCTTTTTCCTCTCCTCTTTTCACCTGTTCCCCCTCCTCATTTTTTCTCTTTACTTTTGCACTGCAGTAAAATCAGAGCTGTAATCCCGATGATGATTACAGTGAGACCGCTTGTTGATATTGAATGCTGAGCTGAGCTAGCGGCTGAGAAGCCTGAAATGGGCCTGCAGCACGCAGGGTACCTCTGCCATGAGTAAGAGCACTTCCTCCTTGAAAGTAAGCACACATCTTAGGACACTTTTCTCCGTATTTTACTTAACTGTAATTCAGAGAAAATATGAAGAGTACTTAAACTTAGTGGTAGTACCAGCCGTGATAGAGATGATGATGTTGGTACTGTGTCCTTGGAATCAAGTTTGGATGACATGTCACTTCTACTTCTCATCTCCATTTTAGCTGCCCCCAAACAGCTACTCAGCTGGCTACTTTGACTACATAGGGTAGAGCTTCCTGGCTGCTCTTTGCTTGCAAATGTAAATGAGAAAAATGCATAAGGCACTGGGCTTTTCCTAAAAAACCATGCCTTGCTTTATTACATTTTGACTAGGTGTTTGAGGAGGTATTTGTCTTCTGGCATTCTTTGTTTTAATTTTACCTTGGAATGAGGCATTCTCAGCTCTTCTCACAGGGTTTCAGGTCTCAGTTGTTTTATAGATGAGCAAACTGGTTCTCAGACTACCTAATTTGTTCAGGGACATCTGACTTGTAACTGACAGACCTGAAGTCTTAACCCAGGACTGTTTAACTCTAAGGTACATGCATATTCTGTCTTCAGTGTCAAACACTATATGCCTGCTATAATAAAGTTAAATATCAAGTTTATGTATTATTTTCCCTGTTTAACATGAAAATGTATCAGAAATTTTTTAAATTTACAGATGATTTTGACCTAATTTTGATTCAAATTCCAAACCATAAATGTTAAGAACAGGGAATGGTCTGTCTCATACAGCCTAACCTATGGCACTGAGCACTTTCGTTGTTATTCATGTGGTGTTTTCATTTCTTCCCTGTTTCATCTTTGATAAAGAGCATTCACACATGTTTTCAGTGGTCCTCACAGTTCAGTGTGACAGGTGCATGAACAGGTGCCTGATTCCTTCTGACCCTTTTGTGGCTGGAATGGCCTTCAGGGAATGAGGCCAAGGAGAAATGCAGTGCTTTTAATGCTAGCTAGTTGCTGTTTTTAAACTCTCTTTGTGTGTCAGATTTCAGGAACACTTTTAAATCCAACGTAACTTTTCATTCATTTTATCCTTTTTGCATTCTCTTTTGCCACTGTGACAGATTCAGAACTACTTCTGTAACCAAGCCACAGAAGCACAGAGCATTTTGTGGTTATCTGGTCTAAGGAATATTTTGACATATTCCTTAGCTCTCAGCCATTTGGTGTCAAATAATGAGAAAAATTGCTTGTTCTCAGCTGAAGCCATCACAATTATTGTCTCTTCCTTCTTATAGGAAATTATTTTCTGTATAATGATTAATGCAGGCTGCATTCCTGTACTGCAGGACTGGAATTATAGTAGTTCTTCAGACATGTTTTAATCATAATTTTTCAGGAGAGATGACATGTCTATCAGGTCTTATTTCAGAGTCCCATAAAGCCCATATTTAAATCTGTAAAAAATTAAACAAGTTCATAATTTCTTTAGTGTCTTAAAGTAAAATCAGTAGTTTTGTTTGCTTTATTTCCTAAGTTTTTTTGTAGCCAGTTGGAATTTTATTTCTGACAGTCCCAGAGTATGTTGACAACTTCGTCTCTTTGACCTGTTTAATTTTTGTATAAAAATTTGAAGTAACGATACATAACTATAGCACACAAAAAACTTAAGCTTTTCCAAGTACTGTGAATTCACATTTAAAGTTGGGATGTATTGATCTAATCTCTGTATAAATGTCTGATTGACAGATTCAGTAACTGGGATATCAAGAGTCGATACCCATTTTTCAGAACTCGCTAAGAAATAAGGGCTTCTGGTAGAATGGGATTCTCCCCATACCTATTGTTAGTAGGAAAACGTACTGGGACACTAATACTGCCATGAATCATACAAAATGAGCTGAGTGAAGTTCTACAAAGCTTCATGATAGCAGCAGCTTCTCTTTCTGCTCTTCCTTCTTCTCCCCTTCCTCTCCTCACCTCTTCCTTCTTTCCTTCCTCTTATCTTCTTCCTTCCTTTTGTTTTTTTTCTCTTCCTTCCTTCTTTTTTATTTATTACTTATTTTTAAGGTGAGGCTTCTCTATGTTGCTCAGGCTGCAGGCTGGTCCCTAACTCCTGAATTCAAGTGGTCTTCTCATTTTAACCTCCCACATTCCCAGACCATGCCTGATGACTACATTTTCTGTCAGGTGATCTTGTTAATTAATGCCTTAGGTTTGGGAGTCCATTATAATAGTGCTTAGATTAAATGTTATTATTCTTTAGCTTATTTCCTTCTCTGATTTTTAAAATTTATTCTGTACTTAACTTTTCTGTACTTACTTTCTTTGTAGCAGTTACCACAATCTGAATCATTTTTTTATAGCTGGAAGTATATGCACATTTTATGTTCTCTTCACTAGACTGTCAGCCTGAGTATGGAGCGTGTGTGTTTCTTTCACTGCAGTGTCTCTATTGCTCAGGACAGTTTCTGTCTTACGTTGTCCCTCATTAAAAATTTAGTCAATGAACGTTGTAAATGAACATTGATAAACATTGAGTAAGTAATCATGATAGCTGTTGGCTTCTATACTAAATCTTACACACGTGAGTAAGGGTGTAAATACAAATGAAAATTGTATTGTCCCTGTTCTAAGGGAGATAAAATAAGGAAGTAGTTGTAACAATAATAGAAACTTAAGTGCAGTAGAGAATAATTTTTTTTTTAATTGAATCCTGGTTGGAGGTTGGACTTTAAGAAGGCAAAAAGTTAGTTTTGTTTGTTCTATTTATATATGAACAAAAACTTAGAAAATTCCCTCCTCTTACCACTTCTTCTAGAGCCACACATCTTAAAAGAGAGATCTATGGATTGTTATTTTTTGTTTTTAAAAAAGAGCAATAAAATAAGAAGAGCCAACATTTTTTGAGGCTTGCCTTGTGCCAAGCATGGTTTTAGAAACCTTTTATTTATGATTGGAATTTGATGTGCATAAGGTTGAGAAAAGACAGAACTGTTGTTGTCCCATTTACAAATAAAGGGAGTGGGGCAGTGAGAGGCGAAGTGTATAGCCCATACTGTAGTCATCGGCACTGAAAGTGCTGTCTGCTTCTCTGTACTTACTGAGGCTGCTTCACCTCATGGTTCTAGGGTTGGATCTGATAGATTTCCACAGGTCTGTCTTTGCAAAATAATCCATGGTGGGGTGACTGAAATTCCAAAACCACCACAACTCTCATTACACATCCTGTGAAGAGTTTTGGATGGAGAACATGGTTGAAAATCTTAGCTGGGATCTTTTGGGATGATCAGAAGTCATCTTCTAAAACAGCCGTGGCTTTCTGGTTTGGCATTGGAACTTAAACACCTTTGATGACTGCTTCGTGATGACAGGACCAGCTGGCTTGCAAATGCTCTTCTCTTCCTTTGGAAGTGTTTGTCCTCTCTGCCACCGATTTCCCCTCATGGACACTGCTGACACAAACTCCCTCAGCACTACTATGTCTCGTTAGCTGGACGGTATAGTGTGTTTCTCTGTGGTGGGATGTCCAAGTCATAGTAAAATAGTACTCAGTTGACATTACACTGGCATTTCCTGACACACAACTACTGCAAGGTGCTCGTATGTGCTATGCAATCTCACTCCTCTGTACCCTTGTACATGCTGTCTCTTCTACCTTGAACTCCTTCCTGCTTCCCACTCAATGAATGCTTCAGGACTCACAGCCACCACATAAAAAAGGTCCTAAGAGGTACTCACCTCTTCACTGTTTGTTTTCCTCACTTCATTTACTAAATTTTTCTCATTAGGTCACTTCATACCTCACAGGTGTAAACAAGGGTACAGAGGAGTGAGATTGCATAGCACATACGAGCACCTTGCAGTAGTTGTGTGTGTCTGTAATTTTGAACGTTATGGGATCAAAGAGGTAGGCATTGTGTATTTTTAAATAATGATAGAGTTTGATCTAAGCTAATGCTTACTTAAAGTATTTGTAGTTTTTTCCAGAGGAAGAGTCAAGAACTATTCATTTTGGGGTCATGCGACATCTTTCTCCTTAATTAATCTAATTGCCTTTCTTTTCCTTGGTTCGAGATACCACATGGCACTCTTGTCATTACTGGTGTGGTGACTAGTTAAGTACACTGTTGTGAGCTAAGTATTACCAAATGACCTTAATTGAATGTGCTATTTATGTTTGAAGATGTTTTAATGAGAAATGAGTAAAGTGCCTATGGGATTTTCATGCATGACTGAAGGCCATTCTTACAGTCTCTTTAGGATTTTGATTCTATCAGACAGTTTGCTCATGGCTTTCAAGATCTTTCTCTTTTCCCCTGGGTGTTCGATAGCTGGGTGATGTGATGGTGGATATCGCTAGCAACATCATGTTGGCTGACGAGCGCGTCCTGTGGCTGGCACAGAGGGAAGCTAAAGCCTGCAGTAGAATCGTTCAGTGTCTGCAGCGCATCGCAGCACACCGGCTAGCCAACGGGGCTCATGTCTACTCAACAGTAAGTGTGACATTACCATCAGCTTCTAAGAGAAAGATTCATTTTATGGTAACTCTAACTGTAAAGAGACAGGGCTCTTCCCGATTATTTTCTGTTACTGCTGAATGGTACAGAATGTCATTCTCGAAAACATCTTAAAAGTTAATTTTGCTTTTGAGTAATCCATTTTCTTGATAACTGGAAAATACTTTTTTAGTCTGTAATCTGAATGGTTGTCACCATCTAATCCACTGAGATTGTGTCTACAACAAAAATAAGAACATTATTGTATTGCTGTACTGGCATTTACCCCCAGTCCATCTGAGCTAATGTTCTGCTCTGGGCCCCGAAGGATGTTTTGGGAGAGTGTCTGATCGCTTGCCCAGGTTCAGTGTCAAGAGAACTGGCATGCCCTCCAGCACTTGTGAAGCTACTGGCATAAAATCACTCAATTAAAAAGCGTTGCACTTTATTTATGCTAAATTTAACTGTTATAAATTTCTTTGTATATTACTTTTTTCTAAATAAACTAATAAATACAGTGAATACTGTGTTCTTCCCTTATAAATCAGGCTCTGGTTTTGTCTTTGATTTTCATTTCATAACTATTTGCTGGGGTCTCGGAGTTTATAATTTGAGATTAATTTTCCCATTGATTTCTAAGACTTTTTTAACGATTCCATGTTTTGTTGTACCCAACATAGCTACTGTGTTACAGCATGATTCGCAGTAGTTTCACTCTCAGATACATGTCCTTACTTGAGACCAGCTGTCATTTTATGTCCTTTCCAGCCACTGAGACCCAGTTTAAATCCCATCCTCAGAACCTTACCTGTTCTTGTGCAAACCCCAAGGATATGGTAAAGGTCACAGTGGGTTTTTGCACACCATTTCAACTTGTGAACAGGTTGCAGGAGTTGGACTTCTCCTTTCCCCACCTGGTGTGTCCCTGGGGAGTGTTCCAGGACCACAGTGAATGCCTGAAACCGTGCACAGCACTGCCTCTATATGTGCTGTAGAGCTATGTTCTGCATTTTTTTCCTACATGTACATATTTGTGAAGTTCGATTTACAAGTCAGGGACAGTAAGAGGTTAACAACAGCTCCTAATAATAAGATAGAATTTAAACAATATACTGTGATCAAAGTTATTTATAACTTACAAATTATTTTTTCTGGAAATATCCATTTAATATTTTCAGACTGTGTTCGAGCACAGGTAACTGAAACTATGGAAGCCGTGACTGGTAGTGGTGATGGGGGAATGTCTGCTCTAATAAGTAAAAATGATATGGCCTCAGCATAGGTAAAGATGAAGATCTCCACAGAATGACAGATTTTTCCTTTTAACTGAGGTTTTGGCATGATCACTGCTACTTATCTGAAGTTCTGTCTTTTTTTTTTTAATATGTGTGTTTGACCATCAAAAGATTGCAATGCACACTATTAGAAATATAGTTTCTCACAGTGCTTAATCTGTGAGGCAAAAACTAAAGCGAACATTGTTTATTCTTGAAAAATTTGGGAACTAGTAATTATTTTCTACCATATGTGTGGTTCTTGATAAATTCTACCTTACTTCTCATAGTTTTCAGTTTATATCCTGTCTTTCTAATGGATTTGAATGTATTTTGCACCAAGGTCCTATGCTTAAAAGAAAAAAAAAAGTGGACCCTGTCCATATACGGTACTTATAGTACTTGGAGTGCTGGCTTGCCTGTGTGGTAAGGGTGTAATTATCCTTTTTTTTTTTTTTACAAAAAAGAAATACTACATTGTCCTTAGAATTTATAGTAAATCCTGTCACCTTGCTGCTTTTGGAAGTGATGCTTGTCACCTTGTCACTTCTTGCACCTCTCTGGTGTGGTTCTGACAATGCAAAAGGTGCTGGAGCGCCTCCAGTGTGTGAGCATGGTGGCAGTGGGTATTGACAGGGTCCCCTGTGTTCAGCTCATTCTTTAATTCCTTGAAAATTTTGAGGCGTCAGGTGCCATCTTTCCCAAGTGATTTTTCTGGCCTAATTTACTTCTTAAATCTATTTATCTATTATACTTGGACCAACACCTCCCTTTCTTTTCTAAATAAACAGCTTTGGAGTGAGTCAATGCAAAATTTTTCTTGGTGAAGCTAGTGCTGAGTGTTAATCTGATCTTACTGTAGGAGAGAGTGACTGTGGGCAGAAGGGTCAAGCTTTTTCCCCCAAGCCCTAATAATTCCTTCCATTTCTTCCTATAGAGTGATCATTAAGGAATCCTCTGATTGGTATAGCTGCTTTTTAAAATAAGAAACTTCCATTTTTAGCTTGTGGCTTCTTGCAAGATACTTTTGAAATTATTTGTTGCATACATACCTAGGCAAGTGCTTTACCTTCATGCAGTATCCTGGGTCCCACTAGTTATTTTTAATTAACTTCTGATTTATTCCTGATTTCTTTGCAACTTGGGTTTTTTCCCTCTTCATTAGTCTTTTTTTTGCCTTACAGGGTCTTTTTCAGTTACCTTCACATTTTTTGTTTTATAAGAACTTGGGCTTTGTGGTTTTACAGGTGCAGTGTTAGTGTTTAAAAAGTCTTGGAAGTGCTTTTCTTGGGATTATAAACCTTTCCTTAACTCCTCTTTCGTTGACTTGAAGTATTCACCCAATATTGCTCTGGAAGCTTATGTCATCAAGGCTGCTGGCTTCACGGGGATGACCTGCACCGTGTTCCAGAAAGTGGCAGCCTCCGACCGCACAGGACTTTCCGACTATGGAAGGCGGGATCCCGACGGAAATCTAGACAAGCAGCTGAGCTTTAAGTGCAATGTTTCCAGTACGTTTTCAAGTCTGGCACTAAAGGTAGGTTATGGTCTCTAAGCCTTTAAAACTATGCAGGGTCAGCTTAGAACACTCAAAGTCTTTGCCTTTGAAAGTAAATGGGGAGGTAGTTAGAAGTGTGGGGATATTGTGCTGTTGTTTTAAAGGAAATTTAGACCAAGAAGAAGAATTTTAAAGGAAATTCATACCATAATAACTTTTCATGGGCCCTTGGCGTTTTTGCTCTGAGGTCCCCTTTCTCCACATCAAAAGTTACTTTTATGATTGCAATAGTATAAAAAAGGCAGCTATATTGGCATTACGTATTAAAACATTTTCTTTAACTTGGGGGTATTTTTGCTTCTGATTTTAAGACATTAAAACATTTTCATGGGTCTTTAGAAATATTCTGGGTCCTTATTACTGTGCCTTCTTACCTAATGGAGAAGTCAGGCTTTAGGCTGGACATTTAATCAGCCAAGCTGCATATCAAGTTTTTTTGGCAAAGAGGTGCAAGTATGTAATATATATATTCAAAAAATGTGTATTTTATTGGAGCAGGAAAAAGGAAGGTATTCTTAGTGACTTTTAAAATCGGGGTATAAATGTGTTTCACTAAACCATATGAAAGCTAATAGTCTGAGACAGAGCTCCAACATGCTAATGGATCCACATTTTGTATTTTAGCTTTGTTTGGGTGTATGCTATTGTGTTCTCTGTGGTTTTCAACTAAAGCTCAACTAAAAGAGCTTCCTTTGTTTCTGGCTTTTCCCTGAATGACATTACAAACAGTGTTCCCAGTCATTTTAATGAATACATACTAATTGATCAGATAGGTGTTAGTTGTTCTTACTGGCACCGTAGGTGCCCAGGAAGTGTCAGATACATGAATGAATAGTTAATATATTTGTAGTGTTTTTCTCTGCCTTCCTCCCTCCCCCACCGTGCCCATAAGGACAGCTAATTTCCTAAATTTAGAAATATCACAGCCATCTGAGGTAAACTCAACTAGGTCACAAGAAGAAATACAATTATTTGATGCCACATACTCTGAGGAAAATCAGCAAGATTTATCTGTTCCTCTCGGTCCTGTGAAAGTACTTGGACCAGCTTACACCCATAGACCTCAGCTTTTCTTACTGTAGCTTTTACTGATAAAATCATACTGTGAAAGATGATAGAGATGGCAACATGCAGAAGCCCACGAGGAAGAGGCATGCGTTATTGAGGAGCACTAAAAATTGATGAGTCCTTCTGCCTAGATAATCACAGCTGGGTAGAAAAGGACTAAAATGATGAAACCTTACATTTTATCAATTTCACAACTTACCTCTCAGTGAAAGAAGAGTTTTTACTGGATAAAGTAGAAAGCTTTAAGTGAACATCCTCGGATTTGCCAATTTCATGCTCTTCTATCCTTTTAAGGTTATCCTGTGGCCAGAGAGCAAAAGCATATTACATTATTATTCATGCCTCATCGATGGACACGATTAAACTGAATGAAAAAAAGAACAGATCCTTCATGACACAAAATTAGTTAAAAATTTTAACATCCACAGTGTAAAATGTACTTAAGCTTTATCATTTTTAAGGGATTATTTCCTTCATATATGGAACTATGCTAGGGGCTGGAGGCATTACTGAAGTGGTAGAACACTTGCTTTCAAGCATCAGTCCCTGTGTTCAAACCACAGTACCACAAAAATGAATAAATGAATGAATGAATTAAATAAACTATGCAAGGGCAGGTTTTATTCTTTCCCATGCATAATTCTTTTCAATCCTTTGACTAAAGTATTTAGACAATATCCGATAATTGATTATATTACCTTTAAATGGAGGCATATTCTAGCATATGAAGTTAATCCCATATAAAGGATGCCTTCAGTTAGCACTAAGTGTTTTACTTGATTTGCTTGCTGTGTGGTTTGTGAATTTGTGCTTCCTAACATGCTTTCACCATAGCCTCATTTGGACTTTCATTCCGTACAGATGCTCTTTGACTTACAATTAGGTAGCATCCTGATAAACCTATTGTAAGTTGAAAATATCTTAATTCAAAAATGCGTTGAGTATGCCTGACCTTCTAGACTCGACAGTGTAGCAGCACAGAACACTGGAGTCTTGGTTGTTTAGTTCTGGAATCTCATGGCAAGAGAGTTTGGTATTACATATTACTATCCTGGGGGAAAAATCTTTACATATTCAAAGTACAGTTACTGAATGTATTTCTCGCTGTTGAAAAATAGTGAATCAAACCATCTTAATTCAGGAGCCATCTGTAGTGGCCAAACCATTGCAAATTCATTGCAAGTTCTTACTCAGTCTTTTCCCTGTGTCTCTAGGCTGTTCTTAAAAGTCCATCCTTCTGTGGTGGATTGGGTGGCTTCAGGCTACTGATAACTGACTAGCATGTACCAGCTGTGACCCCACCAGTTAATAAAGTATTGAAACTTTCTTATCATCTAGCAAGTAGCTACTGCTTCAGTCTGAGTGCTTCCCCTGCCCTGCTGGTTCTTCTGTGGAGAGTACTGTCCAGACCTTTCAATTGCTGAATGGCTGGTGCGTGTAGAGCAGAGCATCTGTGAGCTTCCCCCTCCATGGAGGCTCTCAGTGCCTGTGCTGTCCCTGGTGTGTGTCATGAGCAGTACCCCTGAATCTGTCTAGATGGGAAATTGTCCTGTCCCTCCCTTGAGGTCAAATGGCTCTTGAGCAGTCTGTTGAGTGACTTCTTTGTTTGACATTAGCTCTCCTCCTCCATGTCTTTCCACTTCCTTCCCCTCTGTCTAGAGGCAGACTTTTTGGTTCCTCTCCCCAACACTTGGGTGTTTTGAGGCCAGACTCACGTGAATTCTGTGTTCCTTCCTTGCCTTCCCCAACTCCTTAGTTATATGTTAAGACCCAGCAGAAATATCACCTCCAAGAAGTCTTACCTAACACATTATAATCGGTCTTTGTCTCCCTTGGCTTCTTTTTTCTCCTGCTCACACCTGCTCGTGTTCTCTTTATCACATGTCACATGTGGGAGCCATAGTGAGTTGCTCCAGGGCACAGCTAGTGCTTGGGACATTCTCTCGTTGATGATCCATTTGACTCTCAGAGCACCAGTCAAGTCTGTTCTAATTTTTTTCTTAACAAAGTGATTCCTTTCAGTGTTGACACCATAATTCAGATAAGTTAGCATAATAGAGCAAATATCTTATTTCTAGTCTCCTGCTAAGGGATTTTAGAAACCACCTACTGTTGTGAATTCTGTTCAGCTATAATCCAGCCATAAAGTGTTGCTTCCTTACAGTTTACCGAAGTAGAAGTCAGTTTTTCCTTATATATCCCACATTTCTCCCATCCCAGACACCTAGAGGTGTAACCCACCTGAGGTCCTTTGGTTTTCCTGACTTTCTTTCCTCAGATAGGATTAATGACTGTCTGTTAATCCAAAGGTGCTTTGTTCATTCTCTGGAATAGTTACAGGGTGGTGTACTGCTGGCTTGATTTGTAGTGAGGGCACACTATTTACTGACTTACAGTCTTTGCCTGAATTCATGTTCTCCTTGCCCCACTTAACAGCTGCGCAAACTTGGGAAGTACATTAAGCTCTCTGAATATCAGTTCCTTGTCTCTTAGTGAGGGATCATGAAATGGTGCTTAAAGGTTATTGAAAAGATTAAATGAGGTAAATGTGTAGATACTCACAATAGTAGTTGACACTGAAGCATTCAGTAAACATTAGCTCTTAATATTTTGTGTTGGTTGTTGTTATCTCTGTTGTTAGATTATGAATATTTAAAGGCAAGGACTACAGCTGCTTTCAGTGTGTGTCTTTAGGTCCTGCACAGGACCAAGCATGGAGTAATGGAACAGCCATCACTTTGTTGTGTGAAATCAACATTCAAACTCAATTAACAAAGCTGAAAATTAATTCTAAAGTCATAATCCCTTTTAATCTATAGCAATGAAATAATCAAAAGGTGCTATACAATTAGTAATTAATTAAAAACGAGAATAACTAGGCTATATCATAATACCTACCTGCTGAAAATTGGGTAGGTAGATAGGAAAACATGGATAAAGTGTATTTTATTGCTTTAGATCTGGTGGTTTTGATTCATTCTGGTCTTAGTGTTTGAATTCTATACATTTGAACAAACTGAGCGTTCTGGAAGTTTTCATAGATTTGCTGTGTAGTGGCGGGAGTTCAGGTTCTTTCATAAGGAAAGATGTCAAAATAGAGCAAAGTATTTCTGTGTTTGAGTTAACGATGCCACTTAAGTTCTTTTTAGTTTAATGTCATTGTAAATAGTGAGCTGTACATGAATTTAGCAAATTTAAAGAGCTCCACCGTAGTATTCCTTTCTTAGGTGTTCATACTTAAGGAATTTTAAAGTATTAAAGTGAGTACTAAAACCAAACTGTAGAAGTTAAAACATGGTGACCTTCTAGTGTGGTCAGTTACTTTCAGGTAGTTCTCTCTTCCCAGCCCCGACATTACCATCTTCCGTGTCGCTGAAGTAACAACAACAAAAATACCATCCTCACTTCAGTAGCCTTTGCTGCTTGTCATGGCCATTGTTTCATTGGTCCTTACCACCATTTATTAGGAAGACCATTTGCTGTGGTCAGCAGGTGAGAAGCGCAAAAGTTAAACAGAATTGAGCAGCACAGTGTTACCCAGCAATTAAATGGTCAGGCTGGGCCTAAATCCAGCTTTCTGATTCAGGTGTCCTGTTCCTCTCCTTGGGACACATGATCTTTCAATAGTAAATATTAGAAACCAAGAATACATATTTCCCAAAGAATTTTAAGAGAAAATTTTCCAAAATAAATATAAGGTTAAATGAAGTAATCAACTTTGTGCTGTCTGCCTTTAGGTCAAGAGATAAAAAGGTATAATCATGATAAATGTAACAAATAAACATTCTTCAGTGATTTTTTTTCATTAGATTTACAACTGTTCCATAAATAGTGATCAGTGCTTCTTTTAAACAGTATTTTTGGTATAGATGAAGTTTGTCTTACCAGCATCCCTAGGGCACCTTCTTTCCATCCCAGTGATCCTATAATTATTACTTAGTATATTCCTTATTAGAGCTGATAAGATACTTAAGCCATAAGTATGTAACAGCCTCAAGGATGTAGCTCTTGCCCTTTTATGATCTGGGAGTTTTGTTTATTGTGGTTTTTGGTAGGTTTTGCAAGTGTACACTTGTATAGACATTTTTTGACTTACATATAGTATAGATGTTTCCTTATTTAGTTCTCTTTTAGAAACTACTAGGTGTACCTTTTAAAAAAATGGATTTACTTCTGTAATCTCCCAGAGAGCTATGCTCTGTTGTCAAATAATTTTGTGTTCAGAAGAAAATTATTTGATGAATTTTGTAGTAATTAAGTTTTAATAAATGTCCATTATGTACACTTAGTTAGAATTTTGAACTTTTAATCAGTTGTGTTTTCCTCTGTATATCTCATTACATACTTAAGAGAAATTTATATACTTCATAGAAATTTAGTAGATTAGCAAATGAATGTATAATGAACTTTGTTTCTACATCAGGTTATATTTGCAAGAATAGCAGATAACTTTATGTGATTTCTTAGACAAAATATTTGCCAGTTCTTTTCATGGCATCTTTAATTTAAAAATAATATTTAAACTTCTAAATACATGTAATCAACAGATAGTTACAGGTATTGTGTAAATACTGACATGGTTAATTTCATAAACAGTGGGGTATTTTTAGCAAACGCAAGTGCCAGGAAGCAGTAAAATAGGGGAATTTAAAAGGATCAATGTGATTTCCGCAGTTGAAAGTCCTCCCAGACTAGTGGGAGGAACAGAGTGAGTTGCATGTTGAGGCTGCAAGCGTTGGTTGTGGTACAGACATGTGCAGAGTGCTCTGTGAAGCCAGAAGAGGGAGCAGAAAGCCCAGTGCTGTGCAGATGAAATTCATTGTCCAAAAAAGCCTGGTTTAAGTACTTTGTAAAGGACTCTTGTTAAGTCTCCTGGTTGAGAGGCACCTGCACACCCATGTTTATTGCAGCACTATTCACAATAGCCAAGTTACAGAAACAGCCAAGATGCCCCACTACTGACGAATGGATCAAGAAAATGTGGTATCTATACACAATGGAATTTTATGCAGTTATGAAGAAGAATGAAATGTTATCATTCGCTGGTAAATGGATGGAATTGGAGAACATCATTCTGAGGGAGGTTAGGCTGGCCCAAAAGACCAAAAATCGTATGTTCTCCCTCATATGTGGACATTAGATCAAGGGCAAACACAACAAGGGGTTTGGACTTTGAGCACATGATAAAAGCGAGAGCACACAAGGGAGGGGTGAGGATAGGTAAGACACCTAAAAAATTAGCTAGCATTTGTTGCCCTTAACGCAGAGAAACTAAAGCAGATACCTTAAAAGCAACTGAGGCCAATAGGAAAAGGGGACCAAGGGACTAGAGAAAAGGTTAGATCAAAAAGAATTAACCTAGAAGGTAACACACATGCACAGGAAATTAATGTGAGTCAATGCCCTGTATAGCTATCCTTATCTCAACTAGCAAAAACCCTTGTTCCTTCCTATTATTGCTTATACTCTCTCTTCAACAAAATTAGAGATAAGGGCAAAATAGTTTCTGCTGGGTATCGAGGGGGTGGGGGGGAGAGGGAGGGGGCAGGGTGGGTGGTAAGGGAGGGGGTGGTGGCAGGGGGGAGAAATGACCCAAGCATTGTATGCACATATGAATTAAAAAAAAAAAAAGTCTCCTGGCTGCCATCCTCTCTCGTTCTGATGCATTCTTTTCATTGCCAACAGAAATTGCCTCCTTAAACAAGGTAATAGTGGTGCATGTCAATCAGGGACCCTGGTCCACACAGCATGCAAGGTAGCCTGAGAACTCAGAATTGAGAAGCTCATGTGACCAGGGTACTGGTGTGGTAGAGGCGTGGTAAGAGGTGATTTGAGCAGCAGGTTTTAATCAAATTATATGTCATGCTGAGGACTTGTCCACATTATTCTATAGACATTGCAGAACCTCATTGTTATTTAAACTGAAATAATATGGACACGATTGAGGAAATTCTGTTGGCTATATGCATGAATGATAGTTTTGAGAGAGATGTGGTTAGTGACCAAGAGAAGTCTGTAAAACATTCCTAAAATAGGAACTTTTTAAAGATCAGTAATTGTTAGACTCCTTGGTATCTGGATTTTATTTTTAATTGAATACTGAATAATTTAAAAATCCCCAGGAAAGAAATCAGAAAACATTGCATGATGAGTGAGCATTTTTAGTTACTCCTCAAACATGTTTCTTAGTCTGAAGGAAACTGATGGCAATAAGTTTGTTGAATTTAAATTGCCATTATGTTTGTATAATTTGATTCTTTCATTGTTTGACTGTTTGAATGGGGCATAAATCACCTTAAAATTTTGTAGCCTAAATTAACCATAATTCCATTGGTGATTTCTACTTTTGTCCTTACTTACTGTATTTTGTCTTTGTAAAACTGAGATGTAGCATGAATACTGAGGTTCTCGATCTGTTTAAAGATGGCTGAATCAGCAGTGTAGGCTCTCCTGGGAAATTTAACCGTAACTTGAAATAATGCCCTTGTTTGCTCCTTAAACCCTTTGGGTTTTCGTTTCTTCTGTATTTTGTGTTTCTTTTGATCTGTGCTGTCCTGTATTGGTGAGACCTTTCACTCGTCAGTTGTTTTAATTATTACAGTTTGTGTAGACATACACTTTTAGAAAATGTTTTCAGCGTGTAATTAGAAAAGTTGCACAGCTACTGACACTATTCTGGCTTCTCCATACTAATATGGTAACCTTGCTTTTTTCTTTTTCTTTTTCTGCATATTTCCAGAATACTATTGTAGAGGCTTCTATTCAGCTTCCTCCTTCCCTTTTCTCACTGAAGCAAAAGAGAGACATCAGGCCAGCTGATGACTCTGTGTATAAGCTTCAGCTCATCGCCTTCCGTAACGGAAAACTATTTCCCGCCACTGGAAATTCAACGAACTTGGCTGATGATGGAAAGCGGCGGACAGTGGTGACCCCAGTGATCCTCACCAAAATAGGTGTGTATGTTGCATATATCATCCTGTATCCACTGGACAGTTCACCATTCCTAAAATCACTTACGCCTTCTAGTTTTAATGAGTCATTAGTGAAAAAAAGATCTTGCCCAGGACCCATTACTGTATCAGTTGACATTTAATTGTTTATGAAGTTGGCTTTGGAAATAATGTTATTTCCCATTTTCTCCAGATGGTGCCAATGTAGATACCCACCACATCCCGGTTAATGTGACTCTGCGTCGAATTGCACACGGAGCAGATGCTGTCGCGGCTCAGTGGGACTTTGATTTGCTAAATGGACAAGGAGGCTGGAAGTCCGATGGGTGCCGTATACTCTACTCAGATGAAAATATCACCACGATTCAGTGCTACTCCCTCAGTAATTACGCTGTTTTAATGGTATGGCTGTTGATAACTTTATGCATAACTACTAAGTACTCTGATGTTTTCCTATGTATAATTAAGCTCAAATGAAGAAGGTTATTTTTCAGCTTAACGTACATTGCTCCCTTTAGTTATATAAAGGGGTGATGTTTATGTTAATCTGGATTTAAAGGGAAATTGAGTTAGTGCAAGTGAAATGGATAGAATTGTATTTAGTGTAGGAATTTTCAGTAAACTTTTTTAAGTGAATCAATTCAGGTCGAGTCTGACCTCCTTAAAATGTGGAGAGATCTGGGGTTTATTGCAGCCCAGCTCTATCAACTTTGAGTGATTTGTTTGCACAAAATACACTGTGCATCAAGAAAGATTTTCCTGCTGTGTCATCTAGTGTCTTTCCCTACTACACACTATTGTTACCATTATTGAACCTTTTTTTTTTTAATTTAGAATTAATGGTGATAACTTTCAGTTTTGTGACTGTAAGTAACAGTATTGACACAAATTGTGTCTTTCCAATTTTATTGCCTGTCAATCTGACATTGTTTCTATTAATTTATTTGCTATAATTGATACCTATTAATCTTTTGGGCAAAATAACTTGTTATTAATATACAGGAACAGATCTGTTTAATAATGAGATTTAAATTCACCTGATTCCTGAGCAGATAATTACTAGAACCATATTATTTATTCTTTTACACTGAAATTATTGTGTGATACTAACATGTTGGAGAATTCATGGATGATCGTGGAAGGAATTACTCATGATGCTAAAAGAAATTTCTCAGAAATGGTTTGTGGTTTGCCTGGAGGCAAGTATGTCCACATTTTATTCTAATTTCAACTGTGAATCTGGTTTCTACACGGTATTTTATCAGAGTACCGAATAATCTTGTAACATGGCATATTTTACATTTTGTGAGTTTTTATTTCCTTAGAAAAACAAAATAGCCTTTTTACCACTGCAAATGATCTTGAAACAAGCTGAATTACATTAAATTATCCTCAATGCTTTGTTTTCTTAGCTTCTCAACTTTCTATAGCTTATCTGTTATACTGGCCAAGGAGGCAGCAAAGGGAACAGATGTTTTTTTTCTCCTTTTAAAACAATTTTAAGTGGATTTTATTATTCTATTTTCATACATGCATACAATATGCTAGATCATATTCACCCCTCCAATATCTTCTCCTTTTCTCTTCCTCACACCTGCTGTCCCCCCACTACAATCTTCTCACACCCTTCATATTCATGTCTTTTTTTCCCTCCTCCCTCCCTCCCTCCCTCCCTCCCTTCCTCCCTCCCTCCCTCCCTCCCTTCCTCCATCTCTTCCTTCCTTCCTCCCTCCCTCCTGTTCTCTTAAATGCCAAATTTAGACAAAGATATTAACCTCTTATCTGATGAATAGCTGGCAAAGATTTTCACCCATTCTGTAGGCTGTCCCTTCATTCTGGTAATTGTTTCCTTAGCTGTGTGGAAGCTTTTTAATTTGATTCAATCCCATTTGTCAATTATTGCATTTATTTCCTGAATGCTAATCATAAAGTTATTTGTCCCTGTATCTTCAAGTGTTTTCCCTATATTTTCCTGTAGTAGTTTTAAAGTTTCAGGCCTTGCATGTAGGTCTTTGATCCATTTTCAATTAATTTTTATACAGGATGAGAGATAGGAATCTAGTTTTATTCTTCTATATTTGGATTTGCAGTTTTCCCAACATTGTTAATTAAAGAGGCTATCTTCTTCAATGTATGTTTTTGGACCTTTGCCAAAAATCAGCTGGCTATAAGTGGTGTACAGGCTTATCTGAATCTTCTGTTCTATTCCATTGGTATATATTTATGTTTTTGTGCCAGTACCATGCTGTTTTTGTTACTATGGCTTTGTAGTATAAGTTGCAGTCAGGTAGTATGATATCTCTGGCATTGCTACTTTTGCCAAGGATTGCTTTGGCTATTTGGAGTCTTTTAGGCTTCCATATAAATTTTAGGATTGATTTTTCTATTTCTGCAAAGAGTGACATTGGAATTTTAATGAGATGGTATTGAATCTGTACATTGCTTTCAGTAATATAGCCATTTTCACAATAGTAATTTTGTAGATTCATGAACATGGGAAGTTTTTCCATTTTCTAGTACCCTCTTTGGTTTCTTTCTTCAGTGTTTTATAGCTTTCATTGTAGAAGTGTAGAAAAATTCTTAGGATTTTTCTTTTTGAGGCTATTATCAGTGGAATTGTTTTTCTGATTCCTTTCTCAGCTTGTTTGTTGTTGGTATATAGAAAAATACTGAGGTTTACATCTAAATTGTGTATCCTGTACTGTGCTGAAAGTGTTTATCAAATCTAAGAATTTTTTAGTGAACTCTTTACAGTCTTTTATGTATAGAATCATATCATTGCATATAGGGATAATTTGACTTCTTTCTCTCCTGATTGTAACCCTTTCCCTTTATTTCTTTGGTCTTATTGCCCTAAAAATTCAGCTACTATATTGAATAAGGGTGGTGAGAGTAGAAACTCTTATCTTGTTTTGACTTTAGAGGAAAAGATTTCAGCTTTTTGTTTTCTATAATGTTGGCTATAGGTTTGTCACATACAGCTTTTATTATGTTGGGGTACATTTCTTCTATTCCCAGTCTCTTCAGGGTTTTGATCATGAAGGGAGGTTGAATTTTGCCAAAGGCTTTTTTATGCATGGATTGAGGTGATCATGCGATTTTTCTCCTTTATTCTGTTTATGTGCTGTATTATGTTTGTTGATTTGCACACATTGAACCATCCTTGCATTCCTAGAGTGAAGCCAATTTGATGTAGTGAATGATCTTTTTAATGTGTCTTAACTGTATATAATATGATATGGAAAGTTTCTTTTCTAGTCTTAACTGTTTGGTGTTCCAAAAGCCTCCTGTTCTTGATTGACCATTTCTTTCCCAAGATTTGGGAAAATTTCTCCTGCTGTATAATTAGATATGCTTTCTGTTTTTATTTCTCCTCCTCCTATGCCCATGACTTACATGTTTGACCTTTTGATGGTGTCCCAGAGTCTTGAGTGTTCTGTTTGTAATTTTCTTGTCTTTAAATGTTCTAATTTGTCTTCCTTGTCTTCAAGTGCTGGTATTCTGTCCATTCCTTGGTCTAGTCTAGTGGAGAAGCTTGGAACTGAGTTTTTTATTTGATTTATTGAGCTGTTTATTTCTGGAGTTTCATGATTTTCTTTCATGATTTCTGTATCTTTTTTGAATTCCTCTTACCTATTGTCTTCCTTATTTGCATTCTCTTTGTATTCATTCTGATGTGTATTGCTGTCCTCTTTAGTTTTGTTGAGCATTCGTATAATCATTCCTTTGGATTCTTTGATATTTCATTCACTTCACTATTGTTAGAGTTCATTATTGTGAAATTGTTGACTTTTGGGGGAGTTATGTTGCCTTTTTGTTTTTATATTTCTTTTGTGCCTGTATTGGGATGTCTGTATCTGAGGCTAAGTCCTTGGTTGAAGGTTTTAGTCACTGTAGTCTTTCTGTTGAATGAAGTATTGTCAGTGTTCGTGAAGGAATGAAGGCTGATTTGCAGTTTCTCAACACTGTACTGGGATTATATCCAGGCATTTGCCCACATGCTCAGAGCACTGGACCAGATCTCTAGCACCTTCAGAGAGAAGAAAACTAGCTGGACTCTCTTATAGTTCCTAAGGTACAGATTACTACTGTATGCCTGCTGATGGTGGGTCAGTTTTCTGCTTTTGGGCTGCTTTTACTTTAGATACTTCTCCTCTTTGTGTACTGTGAGCTGCTTATGGCCACAAGGAGCTTTGTAGCCTGTGGGCTGAACAGGTTGTAACTAGTGTCACAAGCACCCCAGTTAGTGCCCTCAGAGCCAACAGGTATCCTCTGAATGCGTTGGAGAGTGTTTGTGTGTGTGTGTGTGTGTGGTAGTGGGGGTGGGGATAGGGAACAAATAGAGCATGGAGTTCTGTACTGGAGGGGGAGAACTGAGGGATTCAGGCACACTGCCTGCCAGCCTCCTGAATGGATTATTTAGCAAGGAGAAAACATTATCTTTTCAGTGATGTCACTGACATTTGAACTACAGCATACAATGTACTTGAGCATGTATACTGTTGGGCTCAGTTGTTGGGTGGATTCTACATGAATTAGACACAGCTGTATTTGTGTAAGGTATTTATCCTTTCATTCTGCAAGTTCACGTTTTGTTATTTTTTAGTTGCCTTTATGGGATGAAGCATCAATTAAAATGTGAGGCCTTTTTCTCTTTCAGTTTAAAAGTATTTTCCCATCCAGGTTTTGAGTATAAAATAATCTAAAACTATGATGTATTGAGAGAGAAACAATAGAAATACTATGTTGTCTGAAATGGATATAAAAGTTAACCAGAATAAGTTGAACAAAGTTAAATGAAATACACACAAAAATGGCATTTTGTAAGCTTCACTATGTTATTACACCATGTGAAACTTGTATTTTTTTTAAATTTAATACTGTTTAAAGCATCTATTGTTGAATTTCCTGGCTGTTCTTCTAAACTATTTAAATTAGTATAATCCTTTTATAGAAGGAATAGCTATTCTTTTATCTTTCAGAATTTTAATCTTCTAAAAAATGCAATACACATTACATTTTTAATGTAATTAAAAATAGGAAGAATTTTCATTTTTAATGGGAAAAATTCTATTTTCTGTTTATTTTCAAAAACTATCCTGTTTTCTTCAATGTAACTGTGCCACCTAGAGGCTGCAGAATGAAATGTATCTGCAATTGTTGTCAAAGTCATAATAAAGTTGGTGTACGGGAATTTTAGGTAAGTTGCTACTTTAAGCCAGGTGCCAGTGGCTCACGTCTATAATCTTGGCTACTCAGGAGGCAGAGATCAGGAGGATTGCAGTTTGAAACCATCCTGGCCAAATAGTTTGTAAGACCCTATTCCCAAGAAAACCCATCACAAAAAAGGGCTGGTAGAGTGGTTCAAGGTGTAGTCCCTGAGTTCAAGCCCCAGTGTCACC